AAATAAAATTAATAATATAAATAAATAATATATTAAACAACCCTCCCCACCTTGTAATGAAAACGTAGCTCAGAGAATGGGATTGACGCTTGTTAACCATTGTTAACTAGTATTTTTAGTCCTGACTGCTCTTAGGCTATGTATAGTTCCTTTTTTTAATGCATTTTCTATACATTAATAAAAGATACCGAAAGAGCGAGCTGTGTGCCTGTCTGGGAGCAGGGTGGGATACAGGTCCTAGTGCATCCAAGCCCAGCAGCATTGCAGCCCTGACCTCACACCAAGCGGGGGTGTGCACCTCCTGCCCCTAATCCTCATTTATCCCATGGGAGAAGGAGCATGGGGGGCTCATTAGCAGGGATTTGCATGCTCTCACTCTTCTGCAAGGGGATGCCCTGCCCTGGTGGAGCTCAGATACTTTTGCATCCAAAGCAGCTGGCCACAGAGGATTGGTTTTTGCTCTGCAGTTTGCAGCTGAGCTGCAAGGTGTTGCCCAACCAAGACAGCCCAGCAGCTGGAGAGAGAGCACACTGCTCTATTGTAAAACATGCCAAGAAACACGGACTGGGAGGAGCAGGGCAGCTGAGAGACAGAGCACATGCAATGGGATAAGAAAACAGAGTGGAAACTCTGGAGACAGCCCAGCATTGGAGGTGTTTGAGACCAGGCTGGAGAGAGCCCTTAGCAATCTCATCTGACCCTAGGGCTGCCTTAGGCAGCAGGTCAGACAAGAGGCTCCCAAGGAGCAGCGATGCTGTTAAAATAAGTGACAATAAGATCATAAAGTCAGGTCAGCGTGGCCGGTCCTTTAACCCCTGTAAGGCAGGAAGCTGTGCTTTGGCCTCAGCCCAGCAAACCATGTTTTGTTAATAAATTTAGCTGCCCCCATAAGCTCGGCAGTTTGCAGCCAGAGAAAGCAAAGCTGCAGTGTAAGTGCTCAGGAGCAAAGTGAAACAACCCCGAAGTCTTCAGTTCAAGTACTTCTAACAATTCCGACAGCAAGATGGAAAACCCACTAAAAACCAAATTTCAAGGCTATTTCCAGCAGAACATGATCCCAGTGGAAAAAAAATGGGAAAAAAACCCCAACCCAACATTGATTTAGCAAAAATCTCTGAGCCAAGTATGAATTTCAGAGGATTTTGAAAGTCTCCTCTTGTTTCACACACAGACTTTATTTAGACCTCCTCGCCTTAAGTCTTCATGTTTGACACGTAGCCAGGCAGGATGAGAAAGCCCAAAAGAAGCTCTTTTGCCAGACTGCTTCAATATTTTCTAAATTTAATTTCAGAGAGAGACAAAACAGGGAAATTTGTTCTGCGGCAGCTCCTCAACCCCAACTTCTCCTTTGTGCTTCAATTCGAGAGAGAAAAAATAACGAAAAGGGAAGTTGTGACTCTGGGTATCCCCCACCTTGGCCATGGCCACCAACACAGCACAAAGCCAAGCCTGATGGACTCAACCATCTGGATTAAATGAACGTTCTCATGTCTGAAGGGAGTCAGTGCATGGGAGACTCTTCAGGGAAGCCCAGGGGCTCTCCCCTGTGCTCAGAGGAGACAAGGGGTGAAGGTGTGTTTGGGATGGGAAGCAAAGGTTGCCTGCACCAGTGCTTATCCTATTCTCACCATGTTTTTCCAAACAGTTGACCCAACACAGGCGGTTTCATTTGTGGTCTCTTAGAGAAGGCAGGTGCCCTCCACTGTACACCCCATTCAGCACATCTGGGGCCAAACGGGGCCCCCAAGACCTCCATTACCTGCAGAGCACACCAAAAAAGGCCCATCTGGAGGAAAACAGCATTCCCATTGCAATAACCAGACATGAGAAGTGGGCACGCACCACTCAGTGGTTGGTGTCAGAGCAGAGAGATGTATGTGAAGCTGCACCATCCTTCTGGACCAGAACTCACCCCCCAGAATCAGAGCCATGGCTATACTCCATGATTCAGATGAGAAGGAGGTGAGGGCTGGCACAAGCCCTTTCCTAAACACTCCAAGTTTTGACTTAGGCCAGGGAGGCGTTTTGCCCCCCACACCAACTTCTGGGGAGCTCCTGCCCTATCACCCATCACAGATGCCCACCACCCTCATCACTCTGGCCCTCTCTGCCCTTGCACACCTCAAGGCCATCTGTATGCTTTAGACACTGCCCTGCACTATCACATATGGTGAGATCTCACATTTCCAGCCTCTCCAAGGAGCACCCAGGCTTTGTGCAGCCTGTCACACTATGGGCAGCCACACTCCTCTTCAGGCGCTTCCAGCCACTGCAGAGCATCGCATCACCAGCCCCCAGAGCTGCACTTTGTACGGAGATATTTCATCATATCCCTCTTACCAAAGTCCCGTTCTTGCATGAGTGATGTTCAGGAACTTTGTTCCACCAGCAAATATCAGGAGGGTGTATAAAGGTCCTCAGCAAGGGTGCTGGGCATCTGTCCCAAAGCTGGAGCTTAAGTAACACATTCTTAGCAACACACTCTGGAAACTCAGCCCAAGAAAGCACAAGGGAAATGCCCACCCAGGGACAAGCAGCACTGCAGGAGGAGGTGCAATGCCTGCAGGAGCAAGGCTGGAGCAGGTTGATGAAGGGGCATCCTCATCCCATGAATTCACAGCTGCTCCATGTCTTGTGGGATGTAATTTTTATAGCACCACCTTTAACATCCTTAGCATTTAATTCCCCCTTGTAAGCCTGGATGTGATTATCATCTCTTTAAAACCCTCATACCCATTTTTATATTTCCAACTCCTGTGGCTAAAAGCTCTAAAGCTTAATTATGCAGAGTGTAAAAAAAAATAAAAATCTCTTTAATCAAATCTAAACACAGGGCTTTTAAATTTCATTGATTTATCCCCTTTCCTGGGCTGAGAAGCCCTGTGAATAACAGCCCACAGGCTATTCCCCCTTCCCTCACTATAGCCTCAACATGCAGAGATTTTTCTGCTCCTGACATTTCAACAATTTTCCCCATCAAAAAAAAAAAGAAAAAAAGAAAAAGTCTACATTATATACACTATATTTGACAGAAGATGCTAGCTGTCATTAGAGGCTTTCTTATAGTGACAATTCCCTCCCTCCCAGTATTTTGGATCGCTTTCTGCTGTTGGTAGGGCTGTTGGAGGTGTGCAGCCCTCCTATAGCACGCACCATGCAATGTATAAGCATGCTCATTCCCAGCAGCATGACTAATCCTCTAGCTCCCAGTGAGGCTGTCTCCCTGGTGTTGCTCCTCTGCAAGCATGAAGGCCCAGCATGGCTGCAGAGCACACCAGGATGCTGGCAGGAGCGCAAGCTGCCTCTGTTCACCACAATAGTCCCTTGTCCCCATGCTGTTTCCTCTGTTTGGTGACATCTCAACAAAAGAAGGGTTTGAAGGAAGTAACTCTCCAAATGTTTATGAGAAATATCCTACCCAAGAGTGAGAGAAGGGCCAGATGAAGTTGGGAACTCTCCCTCTAAGGATTTCAGGAGAAGGCTCTAGAAATGGGCATCCAGGAGAGGGGCATCAGAGGGGACAGGGCTGGAGAAGCATCACTGGCAGCCAGCATTCCCCTGCTCCTGAGGACAGGTTCTGGCCCTCTTCCTGGTCCCACATCCCCTGCTGTGCTCAAATCATGTGGAAAGCAACCAGTATCTGTCTGTTCACCAGCTTGTATCAGTTCCTCACCTGCCACCCAACGGTGCCTCTCCCCCCTGCCTGAGGGGGACTTTGCCCTCCAAAGGAACCTACTCTCTCTCACAGGGGGCAGAAAGAGGCAAAACACTCCCAGGAGAAAGACTTTGGTGTTTTTTTCCTCTTTCACCCACCATGATTTGCATTCTGCTCTCAGTTCCCCCCCCAGGGGTGGGTAAGCCCCCACCAACTTGCTCTGGCCAAGCCCCAGTACCCAGCTGCATCCTCCCACCTCACCTGTTAGCAAACAAGATAAGGAGGAACAAAACTTTGAACCATGAAGAGCAAGGGTCAAATAGTCCCCACAGCCAGGCAGGAGCAAAGCCCCAAGGGCAACACAAAACATTCCAGCACAAGGATGCTTCTTAACCAACTGCTCCGGTGCTACCAGCCAAAATCTACATGTGGTCCTGAGCCACAGCAGCTCACCAGAGATCTTCAGAACAGCTTTTCCCCATGGAAGTGGCTTATGGAGGGAAAGGGGTAACAAAAACAGTTTTTAAAGTCTATTTAATTTGCCAGCTGCTTACCATTAAACAGTTCATTAATCAGATCTCCCCACCTGCCTCAGGTGGGCACCAGGGGAAACTGGCTCCAGGGGCTGGCTGCTGGGTGCCCCTCAGCACTGTGGGGCTGAGCCAAAGGAAGGACTGCACTGAGGGGACAGCCAGCACAACTGGTTTTTCACCTAAAAATCAACCTTGGCAGATGAGATCCAGCACCCACCCAGCATGGGAAACCCCTGGGAGCAACTGCTCTGAGAGGAGGATGAGCCATCGCTTCCTACTACTGGGAGCATATGCTGGTCCTCAGAGCATCAGGGCCTCTCAGAGGCACTAGGGCTGTGCCCAAGCATCACCACTCCTCTGCCTGTGGCTCACACCTCCCACAAACCCAGCCCTTGAGAGGTAACAGCAAGACGTTGCATCAGTGACCCCATTTCTATGCCAAGAGAAAGAGCACCCCCATTCACTGACAGGTTTGCCATCCCCTGGCCTTCACATAACTGATCCTTGAGCTGTTCCTAAAAGAGAAGGCACTGTGTCATGCTGCCAGGACTCGCTCGGCCCTGGCACTTTCCCCACCTCCTGGAACGTCTCCTCTCCCCCTCACCCATGGCCAGCACTGCCTGTAGGATTTCCTCAGGAAGGAGTTCCTTAAGGCTCACACACACAAAACAATCATCAGCTCTAAACTAACAAAAAGCCCTACTGCTTTTCTTCCCAAGCCCAACAGCACATACCGAAAGGCACTCTGAGCAGGGACACACACCCTTCCCTCCTCTCCACAAGACACACAGGTCCCCAAAACCTATCTCTGCTCAACACAAACACCAAGCGGGACTTGACGATGCACCTGAGAACCCCACCTCTCTCCCTACCCCAGCAATTTCTTTCCCCCACGCCCCAGGGAGGGATGCTCCAGCAAACCCAGACCCACCTCAGCAAGCCAGCTGCACCCAAAGCCTCCCAGGTGATGGGTGAGGAAGAGACACCTCCAAAAGCCTCACCAGTTTGGGGGCATGTCCCCTAAGAGCAGCCTTTCCCCCATCACTGCCCATGCAGGACTGAGCCCCAGGCAGCCGCAGACCAGCACATTGAAAGGTGGGACAAGGGTGGGACTGGGACAACTGACCCCAACCCACCCCTGGGACTCCCCCTTCTCAGAGGGGACAGAGCCCAGTATGCACCAACTGAGGGAGAAGAGGGGATGAAACAGCTGTCACGGAGCCTGCCAGCCCCTAAAAACACCAGCTCAGTGCTTGTCCTCCACCCCACCAAAGCATCACCATCCCATCCCACTTCTGCTTCTCCATTCTCCTCTGAAGCCGGAAAACCCATTGCTGCTGCTACAGTAAATACCAAGGGCTGCTATTTTTATCCAGCCCACGACCAGGCATGCTTTATTTTTGGTGTTTGAACTGCATGCTTTTTTTGTGGGAGGGGGAGAGGGAGGGGAGAAGGCAGAAGCGTGGGGGAAAAATGAGAGGAATGTTTCTCCGGGAGCAGAGTTTTCCATTGCTTACTTTAAGTCAGGCTAGCATCTGCAAACAGAAATCACAGCCAGAGAGCAGAGCAAGCAGCTGAGGAAGAAAGGTGGGAGAAAGTTTGCAGTCACTTTGCATCACCTTCCATCCCACCTCACTAAGAAATACCCCAATATACAGGCCCTAGGTACCAGATGGGTGTTATGAAGGCAGGAGTGAAGCTCCCAGCTGTGTAATTGGGCAAACAGGTAAACAAATCAGCTGAAACTAATGAAATAAGGGGGAAACAAAAGGGTGTTGCTGTTTTCAGTATCAAATTAGTAATGTTTTCCAAATAAAATTAAGGGTTGAGGGAATCTCAGAGGAAATAGAAGTTATCAGGGGGCCTTTATGGCATGGGAAAGACTTGATCTCACATGGAAATAAGGAATTTGGGAAGGATGGATGGAAAACGGGGGCTGGAGGTGGGGATTTGATTTCCATATGGTCCTAGGCCTGGGCTCGGACCTATATCCCATGATCTGAAAAGAGTTTATCCAGCATGGGCTTACTCAGATCCTGTGCTTGAGGGGCACCAGTAAGCAGAGAGACATGTAATCTGGAGCAGCAGTGATTCATCAGCAGCTGAGTCACAGCTTCCTCTCACCCATTAAAGTTTCTGAAAAACAAAGCACAATCCCTTAGAGCCCAGATACACTGGATGCCAAACAAAACTAGGAGGTGGCAGGTTCAACTTTCCCCCCAAATGTACGTTTTTTCCACACCACATATGAAAGAGCCATGGAATTCCTTGCGGCAGGAGACATCCCCAGAGTCAAACATCAAATGGTGTTTAGATTCTTTCAAAGCATCTCCTGTGGGGTAGAGGATGTCGGGCTAGACAGAGCCATGGACTGACTGTATTTGTATATTCTTGCATTAATTCTAAGTTTAAGTCTACCCGATGCTTCCCAACTCAGTTTAATGGTATCGTTACACTTGATGGCATCAAGACTTTCCTTTATGGGTAGCAGCACCATGAGAGGTTTAAATGCTGAGAGCAGAATTATCAGTGCCCACCAGCTCCCCCACATCATCACAATGTTCCCACCTGAAGCCAAGTGGGTGCTGAAGCACCTTGCTCAGAGGAGCCCCAAAAAAGCTGGAGAAAGTGCCCAGACCAGCAGCTCCAGCCTTGGAAAGGCCAAATGAAATTAGTGACAAGAAAACACCCAGCAGGGTGTTTGCCGAGGGAACAAAGCAAACCTCCTAGCTACCATGGTAGCAGCACCGCTGAGGACAGGCAGGGCTTTCATCCTCCTCAGTCCTGGGAATGGGCACCCCCAAGCCTGATGCCTCTGGCCACACTCAGCCTAGGAGACCTCTAATAATAAATATTTCCAGGCAGCCCTACTAAAGTGGTTTCAAAGGTGATGTTATGCTATCGGGTGCTGTAGAGTGGCCGTGCATCCCCTCGGTGACTGCCAGCACCCAGGTAGCTCCTGCATGCCGTGGGAAGGATGTTTTCACAGGGTACCTTGCAAAAAAGGGAACTGGTGCAGTTCAGAGAGGGAGGGAGAGCTGGGATGGGTGAGCAAAGACGGGGTGAGCCATGAACATGGTGCAAAGCCCAGGGATCTCCATCCTGTAGCATAAAACCAAGGAAAAATTTCCTGGTGTTAACAAATGGTAAATCTTTAGGTAAAAAGGGTTTGCTACTTCCTGCAGCACATAAACACCTTGCCAAAGGCTACTAGGAGGCACTTGGCACAAGCTGTAGCCTGCAATATGCATTTCTTGGGGTCTCGCGTCACTCCAGCCCCAGCATTAGGATGAAGGCAGGAAAGCATAGGAGGCAGCTGGGGCTGGCAGGCATCTTGCCTCCATTCCTCCTCTCTGCCCCCCTTTCCTCATATTCCCACTGCAGCTTTGCTGCTGGTGCTGCCAAGGCATGGCACCAGCAGCACAGGCCTGTTTTCCAACATCCATAGTTGATCTATGCCAGCTCAACTAGTTACCACCAAGACCAAAGCTGAAAAGCCAAGCCACTGGCTCTGGAGCATGAAGGAGGGCGAGTGTGGGGGTTTTGCAATCCAAAAAAATTCAAGCCGGACAGAAAAATCCCAGCGAAATATCTCTCCAGTTGCAGCTTGCCCAGGTGTCAACACTGTAACCCTGCACGGAACCTGCTCAGCCCTGGACTGGAAAGCAGCCGCGATCTGATAGTTCTTGGGTATCCCTCATACAGACATAGGAAATAAATAAGACAAAGATAAAGCAACAAGTGAAAGCTGGGGGTGGCAATCTGAACTGAACCAAAATCAGTTTGAAAATATCAAAACCCTGCGTGACTTGGACTGCCTTTCCCGGGTTGAAACATCATTCATTATCTCCATGGGTGCAAAGCACCCATAATACTGCTGAGTGCTGAGTGTGGGGCAGAGCAGCCTCAGACATCCCCTCCGGTGGGGATGCTCAGTCACCTCCTGCTTGTCTTCAGCATCCCTGTTCCAGGACAGAGTACAGGCACTGGGGTGGCATGGCAGCGATGGGGTACAGGGTGGCAGTCCTGGCACTGCTTTTTTGGGAGATGGAGGCCTGCCCTGTCCTTAGAAGCCTCCCAAGAACAGGAGCAGCATCACCACCCCTGTGAACCCGCACTGCTGCCCTCCCCCACCCTCAAAACTTCTGGGAAACCTCTGCTGCACCAAAGCGCACGCCTCCTTCCCTGCGAGGGAAAACGCTTTATTCTCCTCTTCCGAGCAACTTTTGGGCTATTTCAGGCCCGGTCTGGTGAATCCCCCGACCCCTCTTTCCTAGACTAAACAACTCCAACTTTGCCAGCGTTTCCTGGGCGCCTGCCGACCCCGCGGCCGCAAAGCACCGCGGACCGCTCGTACTGCAGCGCAGCCTCGGGGCTGTGTCCGCGGGACGGCAGCGCTGGGCCGCAGCTGCAGCCCCAGGTGGGGCCGGGCGGGCGGCGGGGCCGGACCGGGGGCGGGGAGGCGGGACAGGGAGTCCCATTTCCTCCGGGCGCCGGGAGCCTCTGCCGAGCCGGGCGGGAGGATGAGCAGCGGCAAGGAGGTAGGTTGGCTGGGTGGCGGGAGCGAGGGGTACCCGGGAGGGGGGCTGCTGGGCACTGCTTCCCTTCCCTGGGCGTTATCCTTGGCTTTGGTTTGTCCAAACTCAGGGCTTTTCTCTAAGGCTGTATCATCTGCTTCCGTGCCCCCGCGGGCGGGCAGCGCTGCAGGCAGCTGCCTGCCCCGGCGGGGCTGGCGCTGGGGATGGGGTTTGGGCAGGTGCTGGCAGAGCCGGGTGGCTCGAGTGGCAGTGGAGAAGTGGCGGTGGAAAGCAACCTGTTCTCGGGGGACGTTTGTCGGATGAGGGCCTGCCCAGCACCAGGGGGTTCGGATCGAAACGCCAGAGGTAGGGCTGTGCAACAAACTTTGCTGTTAGCGCTCCTTGGAGAGCCGTAGGGCTGGCCCAGGTGGGTTTGCATCCCCTGAGCCTCTCTTAACTGCAGATGCCTGTGAGCTAGCCCAGGGAGGGCAATGGGTGGGCTGGGTGGAAGCTTTTCTGCCAGCCTGGGGAGACAGCACTGCTTAAACCGTAGTTTAGGGGAGCCCGACATGGCTCAGAGGAGCTCCCGATGCTCAGGAATGACAGTGGTGCTTTTTAAAAGCAAAACTGGTCTTCTGGCCAGGAGCTGCCAGTGGCAGCCAGGCGTGTGCAGATGGCAGAGCAGGCTCTAGGCAGCAGTTGGCAAAATAGTTTCACTTTAACCCTGTTATCCAGCACTCAGTAGTTTTCCAAATTCCTCATTTTGGGGGAATGAAAACATCTACACACAGCTTCTGGCTGGAACATTTGGTGGTGGTGGGAATAAGATGAAGCTTTAGTTGGTTTCGTTTGTTGGGTGGTGGCTTTTGGTGGTGGTTTTTTGTAATGCTTGAGGAAGGTCTCTAGAGGCTTGCTGTGCGTTCTGGGAGACCAGCAGCAAAACTCTCATTATTCACTAGTTCCGAAATAGTAATGTGCAGTCCCAGCTAAGGAAACTGCTCCCCCTCAGTGTCAGGTTTCATCCAGCTTTCCTTTAAGTCTGCAGGTGCAAATGGGAAAATAGATGTCACTGGTGTAACTGTGTCTCTGTGAGTTATACTGGAGAGCTTGCAGGCTCCAACAGAGAAGTTAGCCTCTCCTAGCCTGACCTGTAGCTGTAACTGCCAGTGGAAAATGGATGTAAAGCCAGTAACATAAAGTAGTCAAGTTTAATACTGTAGCTCCTGCTTTCCACTGCAGCATCAATTGTATGAAGGGAGGTCTCACCAGAAGTGGGGGCTTATGCACATTAAGGAAGTGAGGGTGGCAGCAGGTCAGATGCTTTTGGGTCACCTTCCCAACTCCTGAGTTGCAGCTGGACACCAAGCATGGAGGAGCTAAAGGACCTAGAAATATCAGGGCCAAACCCCAGAAGTCATGAGCTGTAGGTTGGTTGGTCTCCAGAGCTGCCCCTGCTTTCAATATGGATGCAGGGAGATGCTCCCTTAGAGCAGCTCTGGTCCCACCTGAGCCAGGCTGCATATCAGCCCAAGGGAGCAGGTTGAGCTTTGTTAGGCTGGAGGGAATTTCACACAGACATAAGAGCCTGCTGAGTGTAAGCCTAAAGGACTTGCAAAATCAGGCCCTACAACATTTCTAGCTCTCTCCCTTCTGCCACAGTGACCCCTGTGTAGCAGTTTCCAGCCCTTTGCCCCTGTTTCATGCAAACTGCAACTTTTCCAAGAACTACCTTCATCATCAGCCACTGCGGTTGCTCTGCAGTGCACATCCTGCTCTGCAGGATGTGAGCAAGCCTGCATTGCCAAGGCAACCCCTCTGTTTTGTTTTCCCCATGCTCAGGCTGTCAGCTTCTACCCCTCCAGCTCAGCCAGGCAGGCCAGGCACACCAATGGCTTGTGGTGCCATCCCAAGCGGGCCCTCAAAAGGAGCTTGTTTTCCACCCACAGCTGCCCGTAACTGGAGGAGTGGCAGATGCTCCCCACCCTTGAAAACCGGCTCTTTCGGAGCCAGCATGGATTAAAGAACCTCATGTTGGATGCCCAAGTTCAATTAAAACTTACACAAGCTGCACAAACCCCAGCCATGCAGAGCTGCCATCAGACCGAGCCATCTATCCCTGGCTGTAGGATATCCCAAGCAAGTTACCATGTCAGCTTCACCCTGAGTTGCTGCCAGTACCAGCTACCCAAAACCAAAGAGCTCACTTCGTACGGCACTTAGCAGCCCTACCTGAGATGCTGCCCTAACTCCCAGTGCCTCCCTGGCCCAGTTTCTTGGTCCCATACCTTGATCCAAAAAAAAAAACCAGCTGACCTAGATGGAGCTCCATGTGCATTGGGCACACGGTTCACACCCATAGTGGGCCACAGTATGGAAGCAGCTCTACCCCTTTGTCCCCTCTGTAAGGGGTGGTGTTGCTGTCACACCAAATTGAGCAGCAGCACAGATTCTTTCCTAAATGCAGCTCTCACTGTGCATGCAGACTTTCAGCTAGTGATGGGTGGCCTTGGGTAACCCCTCTTCCCTTGGGGTTGCTGGATCAAAAGGCACCAGTTTTTCTACTTCCCCTCCTCCACCCCCCTTTTTTTATATTAAGCTGAAGAACCCCTTTACTGAATACACAGACATCCCTTCATCTACAAAACAAAAGGCGATGCACACACTGAAAAGGCATTTGAAAACCAGCTGCGTAGCCATGCTGAAAGGTGGCCCTGGGATTTCAGTGCTGCTTGCTCAGAGTGGTGGCAGGTACTTCTGCCTTCCCCTTGCAACGGATGCTCAGCCACATCCTGCTTCAGGCTTGCCCGTGGCAGCCACAAGTCCTTGGCTGGGCACTTCAGGAACAAGCAGCAAGGGCCTCTGCATTACGTTCAGCTCCGGTTTAAAGTGGAAACATTTCAAAGTGCTCGGCATTATTTTTTTTTCTTCTTTGCAAACAATTAATTACAAGTTTAAAAGGAAGTTCCAGCCTCCTTCCCTGCCCAGGAGTTTAGAGGCAATAAATATAAAGCAGCTCAGTGCAGGAATAAAATTGTACATCCTGTTTTGTCTGAAATTAAGGCAGTTGTTGTCTCGGGCTTGGGTTTTTTTAATTTCTTTTTTGGAGTGAAGTGTACCATATGCATCCAGTATTCTTGCCTGGATAATGAGCTGTCAGGATATTTATGGATAAATGACAAACCTGCATCACATAGATGATTCAGGCTGAGAAAAAGGAGCTCTGTTTATTTGTGTTGCAGTTTAACCTTTACTTACAGCTACCCAAAGAAAAAGCCTTAGTGAGGATGAAGGTTGGGACAGGGAGCAGTTTTAAGAAGCTGCTTTCACTTCTTCCTCCACTTGCCCTTTGCTAGTAATGCCTGTGGGCATCAGATAGCTGAGACCTGCACCCAGAGATCCCTTGCTTATGTCCCCTGTGACCAAAAGCAGGTCTGTAATGCTCACTGATGGCTCTAGGCAGGGAATGAATGGGATTTTAGTCACCAAGCCCTCAGTGGCAGCCCATGATTTCTCAGATGGGGACAGTGGCAGCAACTTCTGCCAGGTAGGGAAATGAGGCAATGCAGGGAGAGGTTGGTTTCCTGAGGCTGGAAAGCTGCTCAACAGCAGTGATGGGGTGGAAGAGGCTCTTCTGTCTCTTGGAGCACCATCCCTACCTCCAGGGTGCAGGCTGGGCCTCCCCACCATCCTGCTTGTCTACCTCCAAAAAAACCCCACCATATGTCTATCTATATATGTATATATATTTAACTCCCTTTCTAGCAAGCAGAAACTGGAAGATGCAGCAGGCTGGACAAAAATCCAGCCATAAAACATTGGCTAAATGAAGACATGTAGCTAAAGCCCAGACCACCTCCCAGAGCACTATCTTTCATTTAGTTAATCTCAAATGAGAGTTTTTCAGAAAGGCTTCCACACAAATTAATACACCCATTTTCATCACATTTCCCATGTGCATGTTCAAAAGAAAAACCACCAGCTAATTAGCACCAGTTCAGCTACGCTTTCGTGAAGTTCAGAACAATAAATACACAGCAGTCAGGCTATTTCTGTGGGGGCCAGACAGTTTAAACCCCTTCTTTTTAATAGGATATTAGCACTTGTGAAGTCCCCTTCCCATTCCTCCTAAGAGATGCTTTGGCTCTGTAAGTGCTGCCAGAGGGATAACTAAGGAATTGGTGGTCATAGGGGACAAGTGGTGCAAGCTTTCCAGGACACCTTTGGAGTTCAGGCTCTACCCCTTAGATTTTTATTACGTGGAAGTGGTGGCTTTTCTTATACAATGCCTCAGTTTCCCCTCCTGTGCACATGGGGATTTCATCATTTCTTCAAGAGACTGGGGTTTGAATCCTGAAGGCTAGCAGACACTGCTGCACTGAACAAGAGTGAATAATGTTAGAGCCTGATAGTGCCCCTGCCATATCTTCATCTGTACAACACATAGTTTAGTGACCCTCATGTTGAACGAGAACTGTAAACTCATGGCACAAAGCCCCCTGCCCTACTCCAGACCCCTGGGAGATTTGTTTTGCCTCAGGAGAGGAAGAAAGCCATGAGCAGCAGCAGCAGCTCCCTGCCCCTGGAGGAGGGCTTTGCTGGGAGCCCTGCCACTCAGCAGCACCTCTCCCTCCCTGAGGGAAGAGGAAAAACCTTACGTCAGGCTGCAGAAATGCTCCTTGGCCCTACCCAAACCCTTGGAGAAATTCCCAGGTGAGGCACCGCAGAGGCAGCAGCTCCTCCATCCCAAGCCAACCCTCGTCATCCCCCAGCATCGCAGTTGGTGCAAGGCTGCTGGCCAGGGTCCACCCCCATGACCACCACCTGAAGTCCCACTGACCATAGTCCCCATCAAAAACCCAGGCGGTTTAACCGCAGCCCCCATCCAAACCTGCTGGCAGTGCCCTGGGTGCCGGGGTGGCAGGAACAGCCCTCAGCATGGTGCCTCTACGCTGCCTGGGCACAAGGCAGTGCCCTGCCCACATCAGCTCAGCTTCCTGTCCCAGACCATGGACTATGAGAAATGGTCTCTCCAAACCAGACACCCCGTCCCAGGGTGTATCAGGGGTAAGCAGAGACTCATGATGTATTGAGTCACAGCTCCAACAGCAGCAGTACCACTCTCTGCAGCGTTCCTTTGTCTGGACCAGGCATGTTCCTTCCTGGACAGGAAAGCTCATCCTGCAGACAATATTTCATTTGCTGAGAAATAAGCCCCACAAAAGGCTGAGCTCCATGCTTTGGCTGCCAAGCAAGGGTTGAGATGTATGTCAGGGGGGTGGGGGCAAAGGCAAGGCAGGATTTGTGCTTGGCCAGCTACTAAGGCAAGTAGGGATGTCCAAAGCCCTCCTCACCCATCCCCACCACAGAGAATGAATCCCTGGAGAGGCTGGGAGGCAGTGTTTCTCATATGGGGACACGCAAACAGATGTGCCCAGCAGCATGGCCCAGCCCTTGTAACCCCAGACCCCTCCAAGGCAGCAGACCTCTTACCCTGCCTGGGGCTTTGACTGTGCTGGCAGCTCCACGGGGAGAATTGCTGAGGGAGCGGGCACCCGATCCATGTGATTTCCTGTCTCTGCAGGCACCATCCCACAGAGCTTGTGGAGCCCACTAGCTGGCTACAGGAGCTGAACATATCCCAAGGGACCTTCAAGCAGAGGGAGCAGCACAGGCAGCCTGCTAAGGAGCCAACATGGAGCAGAAGATCAGCTCTTTCTTTAATTCCATCTTGGAGCTCATCCGTACCAAGCATGAGGAAGGGATCTTCAACACTGTCTGCCTGGCTGTGCTGTTGGGTCTACCATTTGTTGTCCTCATTGCATTCATTTTCATCTGCTGCCACTACTGCTTCTGTAGCCGGAGGAGAGAAAGCAGGAAGAAAGGTGGCCCCAGCAGCAATGGGCAGCTGAATGCTGAGAGGAACAAGAAGAAAAAGAAAAAGAAGAGGGATGAAGAGGACCTGTGGATCTCTGCTCAGCCCAAGCTGCTCTTGCTGGACAAGAGACCTTCCTTGCCCATCTAGTGGACAGGAGGGCATAGAGGCCCTCTCCTCTGAGATGCCACCAGTCCTTTCAGCTCTGCACTGCAAGGGGCAAGGAGACGCCAAAGCTGCTGCCACTTTACGTTGACTTTCAAAAGAGGCTGAGCTCAGCAGCCAGCCAGCATGTTGAAGAGCCAGCAGAGAGCAAGGCAGTCAGGCACAGGTATATGCAAGCCCTTCTCCCCCACCATGACAGTGTGCCTGAGAGCAGAACCCCCTGCAAACAACAGGCATGCATATAAACACGTGCTCTGCTGAGCACCCAAGGGTGACCTGCCACCAGACTGTATGTACCTCCCACCATAAACACAGCACACATGCACTGGGCTGGCACGCAGTGAGCTGGGTGTGAGGCTCTCTCTCTGCACTTGTATGCAAGCACATGCACTGTGGCACTGACAAGGGTGCATAGGACCACATGCACAAAAAGACCAAGCTGCCTGCATGCCCCCCCTGCACAAATACAGACAGCCACATGGGAAGCAAGCACGGGCATGGTGCATTTGCTTGCCCTGCCACAGAGATAGCACAACTTGACTGTCTAGCCTTCATCCAAACCCAGCTTACAATGGAGACGCAAAGAAAGCCAAGTGCAGAGTTACCCAACAGCTCAACAATGTGCCATCTCCCTGGCCACCAAAACAAAGGCAGCTGCGAGCATCTGAAGCCAGATGCCTTCAGCCCAGCCTTAGAGACCTCAAGGCACCATCTAACGCAGCAAAGCAGAAGGATGCATTGCCACCTAAGCTAGAGGCAGGAAGGAGAGAGAAGGCTTCAAGACTGACCTTTTTGCACCAGCACTTAAAAACAAAACTAAAAAAATCTTCCTTGAAAAACTGTTTTATACAGACTTGCCTTTAAAGAGCCCACCATGCTACTGCAAGAGTGGAAACACCAGCTGAGGCTGTGTAAAGACTTAGCTATGGGCATTAGAGTTATTTATTGAATGACTACTAAAGAGCAGGACCAAAGGCCCCTGTGTTATTGGGCTAGGCACACCAAAGTGGTATTGAAGCAGCAGACACGCTTTCCCAGCACACTTGGCTGTCCCCTCTCTCTGCAGCCTTTGTGCCACACATTAGATGCGGAGAGGGCTTCGGTACAGCTGTCAAGCCAGCCAGCTCTGGGATTTGCTGTAGAAGTAAAGTTCATGCCCACGGTCATTCCTTATCCAGAGATGCATTGTACAGCTGGACCCTACACCCCTCTCCACCTTTATCTCCCTTGGACACACAGTGGCTTAGCCAGGTACAGCAGCTAATGACCACACGCAGCTCTCACCCCTACTCTGGTTTTCATCTTCTGCTCCCCCTAAGCCTGAGTGCCCAGCCTACTGCTGAGGAGTTGAGGGTCTCCTCTGCTCCCTGCTCTCTGATCCACCAGGCTTTGTCTCCCTGAACTTGCTTTACCACCAAGAGACTTGTGCATGTGATGAGAAGCCCCATCACATCTGGTTTTTGCCCTGCGTCTGTACACTGGATATTTTTCTCCCATTTTCTTCCAGCTCTTAAGCTGCTGGAGCAGACCAGAGCTGACACCCAGAACCAGACATGTAGGGACCAAGCAGCCAAAACAAAGTAGGCAAGCCTGGATGAAGCTGCCAGACACAACCACTTCGAGCCCAGGCAAGGGCAATGCCACCTTCCCCCAGCTCCTGGGGCCCACCCTGCAGGGAGCAGAGCCACCAGTTAGAAGCATCTGCTTGTGCCACCCAGTCCCAGCACAGCCTGTTTTGTCTGATGTGGATGGGGTGGTGATGCTAACACCACGTCATGGGGTTTGGCTGTGTGTGGCTGTGCTGGGAACAGCTGGGAGGTCAGGCTTCTCCTTGCATAGCTGTTGAAATTGACCCCATATGTGCCTTCTTTTCTAGCTTGCTATTGTTACCATCAAAATAAGTGTCTTCCTTCTCCAAAACAGGAAGTAGCATATAATGCTATACAAAAATAGGACTTGCCACACCTAAGCCTAGAGAGAAACAGGCAGGAGTAGCTCTGGTTTCTGTCTCAAACCCCCAGTCCAGTCAAGACTCTGGGGAACCAGCACTGCACTTGTATTATTCCTTCCCTCCTTTTCCCCATTCAGGTACTTTTCCCAGCCCTCTTGCATCCGTGCTCACCAGGTGGGCAAAGCAGCCTCCTTCCATGGGCAGGAAAGCACTCATGCAGGTGCTCCTGTTACAGTCCAGAGACACCAGCAGCCCCCGAGCAAAGGGAAACACCATGGGAGGCCGGAAGCTTACCTAAACAAGCAGGAGCACGAAGGTAGCAAGTGCTGACAGAGCATTGCCTACCTGATGTAGAGCTGCTGGGCTTTGCACAGCTCCCTGCCAGAAGGTCCTCTGGAAGTGACAATGAGCAATGTTTCAGGTGAGGGCAGCCAGTTTCTACACGAACCAGAGAACCGTCAAGGAAAATGTCTGTTTAATCACAGGCACAATGTACCTGATCTAGGTTTTTGGGAGTTCAGAGCCAGGCCTAGATGTCAAGATCTCTCCAAAATCATCATTCAGACTGAGCAGGAAGGGATCAGGATACAACCCTGCCCTCATCCACCGGACCAGTGGATGGTCCCAGCCTCTGCATCCTGTAAAGCAGGGGGACTGACTTGCTTGGGGCTGCTGTTTTAGCCAAACCATGCACTCAATCAGCTGCCTGTTGAGGCAAAAGCGAAAGAGCGACGACAGCTGCAGGAGATGCGTGGTACAGAAACCCCACTGCATGGGTCCCCACTCTCCAGCCACCTCCACACTGCTCCCCATAACTGCATTTCAGTATCAACTTTTTATTTTCTAAACAGTCCATACAACAGAGGGGGAAACAAAACAAAACAAAATTTTTCTGCAGCTGTTTTTTTAAACTAAAAATAAATGACTCTCGAACTGCAAACAAATGCCTTGTCTCTAGCTCTCAGTTGTGTTTGTTTTCCTGGGGAAATCTTTTTTGAATAGTATCCTGGCCCTAGATGAGACACTGGGAGGGCTCAGTGGGCAGCTGTACAGTCTGCCTGCAGCCAGCTGTGCAGCTCAGAGATGTTTTCTTAAAGAAACAGCTTAGTCAAGGTTAATGGCCTTGCCTTGTTTGTGAACACAGCCAAGCTGCTCTGCCCAGGGGTGAAAGGTTTTGGGAAGTATTTGTGCATGGCAGGAGGTGGGCTACAGAGAGGTTTTTTTTCCTTGTGGAGGGTCAGCAGCATAAACCCCAGTTAGTTTTGGTCAGATAAGTATTTCATAGCATCGCAGTCATCTGCATTGGGCAAGTCATAGGACCAGGCACACACCTCTGCTGGGTAGAGCCTTTCCATCTCATGCTTCTCAGCTGGGTGATGTACTAAGATGCACATTGCCCACAGAGCTGAGGCCCTGGAAGGGGGCAGCAGCAACAAGCAGCTAGAAATGTTAGAGACACACTTGGAGGGGGAGAGGGAGAGAAATGATCAGTGCACACCTTGCTTCTTTCAGGATGGCAGCCTTGCACACCATATTCAGGGCCAGGTGCTCTTGGGTAGTGTGGGCTGCAGAGGGAAGGGGAGGTTCCTGGGTTAGAAACAGGCAAGAGCAAAGCTGAGCATCCTGGAGCAGTTCAGAGATGAATGGGATGCAGAAATTGCACACACAATCCCATCAAACCCCACTTATATGGGAGAATTGAATCTTCATTATTACTCTGTTTATTCAGTCAACAAGGCACTGTGCCTTGAGCAGCAAACAGAAGTAACACCGCTGCTTTCCAAGCAACTGACCAGTGAAATAAGACACATATCTCCAAATCACATCATTCAGAGTGCACAATCTCTGGGAGGAGGCATGCCTTCTCCCTGCTGGATAAATGCAGGGACTGTGGGGAGGTGAGTGACGAATTTGCCACCTCTCTCCCCATAGCAGCACTAACTGTATTGCACCCCAGATGTTTCGCAATGGATGTATCCTGGCTGGTGGGACCCAGCAACAGGAGAGCCCCCATCAACACTGATGCCAAGGAAGAAAGGATCCTTCTGGTATTCAAATTCTGCCTCTAGGCTTGTTTTGCAAACCAGTGTATAAATTTTAAGTGATCTTAGGGCAAGGCAAAGGTTTCAAGAACCTGACTGTCCTGAGGCATCACTGCTACAGGACTGGGTATTGCAGCAAAACAAAGGTAAAAGAGAATGTGATATTTATTTTTTTTTTTACAGGACTATCCCAACCAGGCTGAGCCTTGAAACCAGAACAGCCAGTTCCTTAAGGCAAACAAACTCCATTACCTGAGCAGTCCCAGCTTCCAAAGCTGTAGGACAGGCTCTGGTTAACCCCAAAAAGGTCTTTCCACAGAGAACAGCGGGTTGCAGGAAAGTTTCTCCTGCACTAGCATGAAGAAATTATGCCATCCTGTGGCTGTTCGAAATACAGACTTCTCGCAGTGGTCTTACAGCAACCGCTAGCTTGACTGCCCTGCTTGGTGTGGGAGGGACCCACAATTAGGACAGACAAGTAAACCCTTCTCAGAAACTGCAAGTAAGGTGTCTCATTTACCTTAATCACTGAAATACAAAGCTGGTGCCACTTAAGAGAATAGTCCCTGCTCCTAGCTAAGATTCAGCTTCAGACAGGGATTGTGCAGAAGAAATTGCTGCTGGGAACAGTCATGCCTGCTGTTTTTCAGAGCATACACTTTAAAGAGTGGCTGCATGTAAGGCTGGTCCTCCAGCCCGCCTTGGTAAGCTTCCTGATGTCTACACTGCCTTTTAACTGAATAACAGAGAAACCTGTCCTCACCTCCAGACAAGCAGGCAACAGAGAGAAATCACCACAGTAAAGAGCCCTTATCATTTTCCTGTGTCCTTCTCTCATGCTCTTAGCACAGAGCCTGCAAAACACTTCAAGTGCACTTTTCCTTTCCTCTCCTCCATCAGTCTCCTCCTTCCCCCAGCCCAGGGCTTAGATAGCCTAACACAGCTCAGATGGGTCTCTGCTTGTCCACCCACACCAGAGCCACAGCCCTGAAAGTACAATGAAGAATTTAGTACTCACCTTTGAGAGACTGCTCTCTAGCTAGCTCTGCTCAGCCATGTCCTAGCAACCACAGATCAGTTAACTGCTTAGCAGTATTAAGTCACAAAGAGATCACACAGTCCCCATCCCTGTTTTGGAACAGAACTCCAAAGAATTGTCATAGCTCCAGTCTGGGTCCGAGTGTTGCTCCGTCTCCGTAACAAAGGTTTAGTTCAAATGGGCAGAAAAATAACTCTGCCACCCAATGCAAAGACAGAAATGTTTTAAGAGCTGCTTTATTTGCAGTTTTATTAATTCCCTAAAGTCTGGAAAGGATTCTTTAAAACATATTACTCAGCTTAGCATGAGGATAGAAAAGGCCATTGAGACATAAGACAATCATGTGTCAATCTACTTAGGTAAGGAAACTGTAGAGCAAGCATAATTTTGTGAGCTCATACTTCTTCCCTGGCTGCAGCTGGTGGTCCAAAATTTTAATATCTGCTCACAGAAAGAAAATGAAACACACCTTTTGTGGCTGTGAGATTAAAAAGGAGCCAAATGTGAAGCCATGCACTGGGGCCCAAGGGAGAACATGCAGGACTGGTTTAACTCAAGAGATGCTCGATTCAGAGGCAGATGACAGGCATTATAATTTCAGAATCACTAGCTACCATGCTGCCAATGAAAAAGATGACAACAGAGAGGACAGTGACACAGAGAATTTTGTTCACAGCCTGCAAGTGGCCTCTTAGGAAAGCAGTATACAGAGGCAGATCTGGATGGAGAGCAGAGCTTGGAGAAGCATAGCTCTTACAGTCACCCTGTTCTGGGCCTTATCCAGGAGTGTGAGCATTAATTTACTGCATGTATCCCTAGGCTTTTTCTTGGGCTGGGGAACAAGAAATGACAAGCAAAATAGTAGGATTTCAACCTGGAGAAGTGTAATATCACCTGGGTCGGAGCAATCCCAGACACAGCTACAGGCTGGGCAGAGAAGAGATTCAGAGCAGCCCTGCAGAGAAGGACTTGGGGGTGTTGGTCGATGAGAAAATGAACACAAGCCAGCAGTGTGCGCCTGCAGCCCAGAAAGCCAACCGTATCCTGGGCTGCATCAAAAGGAGCGTGACCAGCAGGTCGAAGGAGGTGATACTGCCCCTCTACTCTGCTTTCATGAGACCTCACTTGCGGTACTGTGTGCAGTTCTGGTGTCCTCAACATAAAAAGGACATGGATCTGTTGGAACAAGTCCAGAGGAGGGCCATGAGGACGATCAGGGGACTGGAGCACCTCCCATATGAAGACAGGCTGAGAAAGTTGGGGCTGTTCAGCCTGGAGAAGAGAAGGCTGCATGGAGACCTCATAGCAGCCTTCCAGTATCTGAAGGGGGCCTATAGGGATGCTGGGGAGGGACTCTTCATTAGGGACTGTAGTGATAGGACAAGGGGTAATGGGTTCAAACTTAAACAGGGGAAGTTTAGATTGGATATAAGGAGGAAATTCTTTCCTGTAAGGGTGGTGAGGCACTGGAATGGGTTGCTCAGGGAGGCTGTGAATGCTCCATCCCTGGCAGTGTTCAAGGCCAGGTTGGACGAGGCCTTGGGTGATATAGTTTAAAGCAAGGTGTCCCTGCCCATGGCAGGGGAGTTGGAACTTGATGATCTTGAGGTCCTTTCCAACCCTAACTATTCTATGATTCTAATATTGGAGGTTGAGAAACTCAGATTACAGATCTCACCTGGGTTAATGAGCTTTGCCAGCAGAGTGGCATTTCCCAAAACCCAGCTCTGACTGCAAGAGTAGAAAATGTACTCCAGATAGAATCATAGAACAAAATTATAGAGTAGTTAGGGTTGGAAAGGACCTTAAGATCATCAAGTTCCAACCCCCCTGCCATGGGCAGGGACACCTCACACTAAACCATATCACCCAAGGCTCTGTCCAACCTGGCCTTGAACACTGCCAGGGATGGAGCATTCACAACCTCCCTGGGCAGCCCATTCCAGTGCCTCACCACCCTAATAGGAAAGAACTTCTTCCTTGTATCCAATCTACAGTCCCTAATGAAGAGTTCCTCATGCTCCAGGCCCCTGATCATTCTCGTGGCCCTCCTCTGGACTTGTTCCAATAGATCCATGTCCTTTTTATGTTGAGGACACCAGAACTGCACACAGTACTGCAAGTGGGGTCTCACAAGCGCAGAGTAGAGGGGCAGGATCACCTCCTTCGACCAGGATGATGAGACGAAAGGAAAAGAAGACCACAGGCTAACACAGAGAGAAAGGATAGTCTCAGAAAGTTCTCTCTGATGTAAATTAGAGGGAGTTTTATTTTTTGGTGGGTTGAAGTTGAATTTTTTGACACCTGAAGTGGATAGCACCAAAAAAGGACAGAATTAAGCCAGCAGCCTTGGGTTTTGGAAAAAAAAAAAAAAAAAAAAAAAACAACAAACAAACCACATCATGTATTAAAGCCTGTTTTATGAAAGTTCACAGAAGTTGCATATGTTGGATAAAGTTGGTCCTTGTCATGTATGTTTAGCCAAACAGAGGAGCTACAAGTCCCCGCCCAGTCTCTGACAAATCAGCCATCAGGAGCTCCAAAGGCTGGAAGCAGGCTGGGCTGCAGAATCAGAGGTCTCTGGGTATATGTTGGTCAGCATTTGTCTCCAATGTACTGGAGAAAGCTATCTGAATCTAACTTTTTGGTAAGAATCATTATCTTTAGGTACTGTCCTGCACTGAGTTCAGTTTAAGCCCTGATCTTCCTCTTCCCTAACAGAAACCTCTTCTTTCTCCCCAAGATTGGTTCGTTACTGGAAGACTGAGGACGGATCTTCATCTCAGTGAAAGGAATGGAGAATTCATGACCTTTCCATGGCTCCCAATTCACACCCTGGGAAAAGACCAAGAAATTTCTTTTACTAAAGCACCTAGACCACGAGTTAGGAGTCTAACACTGCCCCCTCACCTAAGTAAGTTTGCTTACGGATCATTTTCCTTTTAAATGAAATGAGGTAAGATAGTCCGGGCAATCTCTCCTGCTCCAAGGAGAGACATCACCCCCATATGTTTTCTCAAGGCTAGGGAGAAGACCTAACAGAGCTCTGCCACTCACCTCACTGTGCTTGCTCTCCCCGTATTTCCCATTGAGATTGGCCAAGTGGCAGTTCTTGTACCACCACGCACCATGGTGTGTCAGAGCACAGTTGCTGAGAGCCACATCATTGTCTCTGTCCCATGTTGTGAACTTCCATCCATTGTGGTAGGTCATTGCGTCCCCTAAGAGAAGAGATAAAAGGCATGATTAGAAGTAAGATAATACAGTTGCTCAACCTGATAGCTTAGTCACCCTTCAGGCAGAACACAGCAGGCATGTAAGGGGAAAAGCAATAGCACAGCATAGATCAGACAAAAATTTCTCAAGGGCTGCTATTAGAGGGCATGTCCAAGGGCAGCTGAAGGTCTAAATCTTGTGGCAAGAGAATAGATCTTAAAAGTAGAGACTATGGACACAATGGCAATGGTAAGGATTTACAAGTGGCAGAAGCCAGCACCAGGATAATTACTGCTGTTGAGCACATTTCCATCCTGAACAAGAGCCATTCTCTTTGCACTTCTCAGATGTGGAGCTCCAAAAGTTGCTCCACCATCAGCACAGGTTACCCCATGGAAACACTTCCCAGTCTGCCTTTTCAGCTGGTGTTTCACCAGGTTACAGAGTCCTCTCTTCCTCATGGAAAAGCAACTCTTTTTCCCATCTTCAGCAGGAGACAGGCCTGTGGGCATACTCTCCTCAGTCTTTCTAGGAAGTACAGACTTCTCTCCTCAAAGCAAACCACATTTGATCTAACCTGACCTAATGAGCTCCCATGCTACTGGCAAAAATACACAGGTCCCAGCATTTGCTTCCCTGTGCTAGGCAGAAACAGCATGAGTACAAGACACTCCTCACCAGCATTGCCTCTGTAATTTTCCACTGACAGCCTGTATCTGTCCCTGCTTGAGGCAACCTGGAAAAAGTCATAGACAGCATAGACAGATTCGCTGGCTGTCCGTAAGTCCACACGGAGCTCATAGCGAATGGGACTGCTGCTTGTGAGATTGTGCAGCTTGTCAAGACCTAGGACAAAAAATAATTACTGTTAAAATGGAAAAGCCTGTTCACCTTTGCAATCCGAGACTCTCACCCTGTGGCCATTTTGGTTAAATCAGATATTTCCTCCCTCCTTCCCTGCTTGATGCTGTCATGATGTTTTGCCAAGTTTAATCTGTCTTATTTTCTGGCAAGAGACAGCAGTATCAGGAAAAAAATGAACAGCCTAAACCAGCAGAAGCCTGGCTGTAGCATAGCATTATTCGCAGAACATTTAGAGACTCTTGCTCCAAAGACCATGACCTATTTAGTGCTGGATTCTCTGATACAGAGTTCATTAACAAAACAAGACAGACAAAAAATGACTGAGCACACCAAGTTTTGTGTAGTATCCTGGTATTTACATTTTCATGAATGCAATTTCTTTATTACCCCTCTCATAGGGGCACACAAGCTTGCAATAAACCTTTGTGGAGTTTGGCTTGCTCAGGGACTGTTCCAAAGCCCAAAGATGTCAGCTGAAATACACAGTGCCCCTTTAGAGATTCCTCAGTGCTTCACTGGCATTTCTAAGGAAGACACAAAAGCTGACAGTTCAAAACTGCAGCCCTGGGGGTTGGATGTTTCAGCATTTAGTTGCTTCTACAAAGCTAATCTTCAGCTCTTCACTGGTCACACCCAGGTACTGTACCAAGCCAAAATTCCCCTGTGGGATCTCCAAATCCTTCCACATAATTTTTCCAGCGTTGGTAGAAATCCACCTCACCAGTGCTCCGCCTCTGAAACACCTGCAAAGCAAGGATGGCTAAGCGACAATTCATGACAGGTTGAGGAGAGACGAAGAGGAGGGATACGAGAAATGCTTACCCCGATTCAAACACAACTGAAAAGGTGAAACATTCAAGAGCAAACCATTGTACCTGATGGTACACTGCATCTGAGCAGGGTACACACAGGAATTCATTTCAATTTTCTGGCTGCACGTAAGCACTAGAGTGAATAGTAAGTTGTGCAGATGATACAGTTTACTTTCCACAAATGCCTATGGACATTACAATCTGAGCATGATCTAAGAGACAAGATCCATGAGACGTTTGGGTTTCTAAACTTTAGCAAAATCAGAGGGATTTGGGCAGTGACACACAACTTATTTCAGTGAAGAAAATCACTTATCCCTGAAAAGGAAAAGGTAAAAGGGGGAATAAAGGTATTTTTATTTGGTTAATTTAGGGAGACAGCTGTCTGGGAACCTCAGACTCACTGCATGCTCATACACATTCCCCACTTCAAAGCAGTGTGTTTCTGCCTCCAGGTTCCTTTGAGCCACTCAAAAGCTTCTGTGTGGTCAGGGTTCAAGGGCATGCTCAGACCACTAGTATTTAAAATACTAACAGAGTTCAGCTGAAGGGTGTTAATTGTCCATACGTATAACATTATATTGTGGTCAAAATGAAATTATATAGCTCAGTTAACTTGTGAAAGGCAGTCAGGCTAGGATGCACTACCTCATCTTACCACTGGGCTGAATAACTCTCGTAAAACCGCCCATGACCTCTCGCTTGCATAAGGTAACACATTAAGCTGTCATTACTCAGCCATTGCCCTCAATCAGCAATAATACAAACTTGCGTGGCATTCACAACCAACAATGAAAAATGCTATTGCTCATTCAGTCTCCCACAGCATTCCTACTGACAGCCTGAAGGGATACATCAGCATCCACCACCCTTTCTGGAACGTGCCACTCATTATAGGCAGGAGCTGAAACACAGTACTGCAGTAGGGCCCCAGCAAACACCGGTACCAGATCATAGTGATAAAAAACAAAGAGGAGCAGAGAATCACTCACTAGCCACTCTCCTCCATCAGTGGTCATGTCACAGTACACCTGCATTGGCCTGCTGCAGTCCCCCTTCAGGTAAATGGTGTACATGCCACTAGATGTATTTCCGTTCTGCTGCATCTGGCTGCAGTCTGCGGGATACGGGTAGAGGGAGCTAACTGCAAAACCAGAAAATTTCACATCAGCAAAGCAGGCTATAGAGCTGCAGGAGGCATTTCAGACCCTGAGGAATCTCCTAAAGACAGCGTAAAGACAAGTAAAGAAATCAGCAGCCCTCACTGTGCACAGCTGCATCTTGCTGCTGGCAGCCTTCCCTACTTCCTAGGAACTGATGCATGGATGGGGTCCCCAGAGGCTGCAAGAGATGCAGTCTTGGGTTTCAGTGAGAGCAGGAAGAGGGAGCCCTTGTTCGTGAGGGTGGGCGTACCAGTAAACAGGGACTTTAATGTGTCTGTATTTCACAATTTGTCCACAACTGGCAATCCCTGTGAGCACTGCCACAGTACGAGAGGCTTCCACAGCAAGCTGGCATGAGGTTTTGTTTGATATGTTGCCATTTGGGTGTGCTTTTCCTGACCTATGAAAACAACCTGGGCAGCTACACAGTGCCATGGGAGTATTTAAACGGCTGTGCCCTACCATTACTAGGATGGTGCAGACAGATCTCCAAGTATATCATAACATCTCCTGCCTACTGGCAGCTCACCAGCAGGCTTTGTCCCATGCTTGGCTAGCAAGGTTTGCCAGCAGCACTGACCACAATGAGTAATCTCTACTCACACCACCCCATTGTGTTTCACAAGGCTCCAGATGGCGTGGCTTAGAATGGATGCCCAGTCAGGAGATACATCCCTGACTTGCTCCATGGTTTGCTTATGATCATAGTTTCCCAGTGCATCTGTAGAACATGAACTCCACCTCTGACCTTTATTATACAAGGTCATTATTATATATATTATTTCTACTATATGTAAAACACAACAGCTGTAGAGCATAGGGAAACGTGCAACACCAGAGGCCAATTCCTACCTGTTGAGAAGGTACCGTCCATCTTTCTGCTCTGGCGATCTCCCTTATAGGCCATCACAAAGATGGTATACCTTACTCCTTGTTCCAGTCCCTCCAGCACAAACTGTTGCTCACTAGGACTGAGCTGTATTTCCTGCCAAATAAAACAGATCAAAGGTCAAACCCAGCTCTCAATGGCATTTGGCTTTTCTGGAGCACAGTGCCTCATTCTCCATATGCATTTACAGGTTTCTCTTGTAGAGTTCAGCCAGGCACATCCATTGCACTTCCTTGAAACATGGAGACCATCTCCTCAGAAGGAAGACTTGGGGCAAAGTCTCAAGGATACCACCACTAGGACTCTGAGGACACCCTATCCCTGGTGACAGCTGCCTCTCCAGGTAATAAAGAGTTTAGGAAACAGAAGTAAAAACGTTCTCTGCACCTACAGATCTGTTGGGAAGAGGTGTTACTGTCTTGAGTAGAAGCTGTGGAGGGACTTTGTGACATGTCCTTCCTCACGCTCTTCCTCCCTGGGCCATGGATAGCATAGATTCCCCTCCAAAATTGTCCATATAGCCACGAGACCCAACTGGCAGAGCCCATAACCATAGGGGTGATTTCAGTGGGGTCTGCAGGACTGATGAATTTACTGTACCTTGCTTGTGCCATCTTGACCCTGGTAGGTCAGAACATAGCCATCAATCTGTGCTGCAGGAGGAGTCCAGGTAACCACACCAGCAGAATGAGTCATATCTGATACATGGAGGTTCTTGGGAGGATCAATCTCTATTGAAAAAGAAAATTCAAGTCTCATTGTATAAACAAAATATACCAACTGCAGTGCAGCACTTGGGCTGAGCTTTCAGAGTCTGTTAACTGGGAAGTACAGAAACTACCCAGTGAGCTGCATAGCTAGCAAGCAGCAGAAGCCAAATGTGGCAAGGTCTGCTACAGATCTGGTTTGGGATGTTTTGTGAGCCCTGCAGTTGGCTCAGCTGTTCAGGGCCCAGAAGCTCGACACAGCTGCCTTAGAAAACCCCATCAGACTCACATCCAAGAAGCATTCACAGACAGGTCAGTCCTGGAGCATAGCCCTAGTGTGGCTGGCTGAGTGGCCCTACACCTTGTTTCCCTACTGCAGATGAAGAATGACTTCATAAGCTTTATTATCATGCTTTAGACTTCTTTAGTAAACACAGGAATACAAAGAAATGCACAGCTTTACAGTTCAGGCTCTGCTGTATATGGAACACCAGCTCCTTCACCAGCTTAGCCAGATTTTCCCTGTGCAGACTGTTCAAATTCACATAAGGAAGAACAACAGAATTATTTTAAGCAATGCCAGTTCCCAGCAGTTGTCAAAAAGTGTCTTATAAGATACCTACAAGAGGACTGAAGTGCTTCCCTAGACAAAAGGTCATTTAGAAGTAACAACAATGGAAGCAGCATCTGCCTAATTTTCATCCTGTGCTTGCTACATCCTATATACTTTAGTAACATCTTAAGGAAAACAATTTAAGTAGCGAGGTTTGTCTGGTTTTCCAAGTTTTAGAGAGAAGGTTCTTGGTAGGCAAGAACAGATTTGCTCCAGCCCTGAAGTAGACCTGAGTTTATAGAAAATTATAACTGAGTAATTCATCTCAATTCTCTCCTCTTCCCCCCAGCTCCCCTGGGGGACTACAGGTACGTTATTGTCTGTTAATTCAATTCTTTTCTATGTAAACCAGGCAACAACACTTTCAACAACTTCTTCAAGACCTTGAAAAGTGCTATGAGGGTAAGCATTAACAACAACTACAATGCATCAGTTAAATATTACATTTTGAAAAGGCCACGGGGAAAGATACGGTCAAGCTATGGCCTTAGATAAATGAGAAGAGTGGCTTCTCCCAGGAAATGCTGCACTTCTCGTGTGTAGGGTTACTGCTCAAGACAGTTACAAAGGCAGAGGACAAGAAATCAAAACACCAAATGTAAGGAGAGCAACAAGGACAGTAACACCAAAGTTCATACAGCATTTTGGTTCACACTGGCTATTCCTTATAACTGAAGACCATCTTTCACTAGACTCACGAGTTAGGCATTAGTACATTACCTAATGAACTCGCGGTTCACCTGCGAGACCACTAAAAAGCTGCTTTCAGTAAAAGGAGGCAGAAACCTTTCGAGAGGCTGACTACATGTGTACCTCCAGCTGGGCAGCAGAGGGCGCAAGAAGGTACAAAATCCATCACGAGAAGCAAGGGATTTGAAGCGCCGCCTTAGTGTGCAGTTCTACAGCGCTGCTATTAAAGGCCGGCCAGCGGTTCCATGGGTCAGCCGGCCACCGCAGAAAACTCCCTGCCACAGCCCATTTTAATGCCAGGGAATGACCAGCTATCACCCTGAAAATGCTGGGGTCTTTGTCGCCTCAGAAGTTGTGTTATTTTAGCAGAGGTGCCCTTACTTTTGGAAATAGAACACCAAAACCGAAAGTACATGTGTTTTGTGCCGATATTTCAAAGCTAACCCTACTAATGCTAAATGCATTCACTCTCCAAGCAGTTTTACTTCATGCAAAATTTCCATTTTAATTCCAGTTAAAAACCAAAAACCAAACAATATTTCAATTTGCTGAAACTTTCCTTGCATTTCTAGTTCATTCTTTTGGGCTCGGGAGGGCTTCATTTGCTTCCATCAGCTGCCCTTGAGCTCTGTAAGTGCTGGGGAACTGTTTGACATCTTGCCCTAAATCCAAGCTTCAACTGATCTATCTCACACCAGTTTCATGACCAGATGACCCTGAAATGTTCCCAGCACACCATAATCCTTATGGCTGGCTGAACAAGAACTTCACAGTCTGCTAGGACCAGTCTAAGGTCAAGAGCCAAAGGGCAGGCAACTAATTTAAACCGTTCCCAATTCTAAAATGATTTAACTTTGGTTGTTAAACCTGTTACTGCTAGGCTTGATAACAGCACATGAAGCACAGCATGCTTTTGGCTAAGGACTAGTGAAATAAACTGGGTACCATTATCTGTAGTCACTCTTTATTACAACATCTGCACTTTAATCGTCTTTAGCAGCAGTCTCCATTATGGTCTCTTTGGGTAGTGAAAATGCACATTCCTCCTTCCATAGCTACAAAAATCACTTTCCAGCATTTCCACAGGTCACCCATGAGAGTGCCTGTGCCTGCCCTGTTGGCCTGGTTGCTTTCTTTCCCTGTCAGGTACAGATGATAGACACCACACCTAGCTTAAAAATAATTGGGATAGCAAGACCTGTGTCCTGCCCCACTTCTCCCTCATTCCCAGGGAATGCTAGCAGTGTCCTCTGCCAACCAGTCAGTCTTCAGCCTGGCTATGCAGCCAAATTCTGCAAGCAAAAGCGTTGATTATACAAACGGAATTACTGATAGTTAAGACACTTTATCCAGGCTCAAACCAGGCTTCCTTTTCATGTTCTGGGAGAAGACAATTAAAATAGAGGTGTTTCCTTCCAAGTCTTGATTCACTGATAAATACTATTCTTATCAGTGAGCCATCCTAAGTTTAGACAGGATTCAACAGCAGTAGTGTAATACCCTAGGGCAGAGCTAAGCCACACTTGTAAAGGTCAGTGTAGACCTGAAGACCAAAAAGAGCAGGCAAAGCTGATGAGTGCTTTAGCAGAGTGCTGTGAAGCTCACTCTGGGCTAACAGTTTCTCAGTTAAGAGCAGTAATTATTTTCAGAAAGTTATCTAGACTTAGCACCATCTTTATGTGAAGCTTGAAGGTGCCTGTAGCATGGATGTCCCCACAAGACAAATATGCTCTGCAACAGGCCAGAAAGTGAGATCACCACAACACAGTATCATGTAGAAGCAAACATATTTTCTGGAATACCCAATCACTGCCTCAGTGCTGACCTTCTTGCTCTGCTGTGTTGCCTTCTCTGCCCAGAGGAAGATAATATACTCAATGCCAGGTTTCAGTCCTGTCAGTCTTGTAGTGGTCTCATTCTTTTTCCATTTCTACCTCCTCTGTGTCACCACCAGAGGTGTAGTTCACCATGTACCTATCTATAGGAGCCTAGGCCCTGTCCCAGGAGATAGTGGCTGTGTCCTCTGTCACTTGGTCAGTCATTAGATGAGCCGGGCTGTCAATTTCTGCGGAGACAGTTAGAAGGGAAGGACACAGGCTGTCATAGTCGCACCGTGACACTCCTTCCCCTTAAGAGCCTTGGCAGTTTCTTCCTTTTTCAAGTCCTGTCTCTGATCACGTATTGATTGGACCCACAAAGCTGGGAGGTTATCAAGGTCTGAGGTGGGTTGACTGGGGTCTAACTTTAATACTTATAGATGCTTTCCCAGGAAACAGCACAGCCAATTCTGACCTGGACAGAAGAGAGCCTTTTGCAAAGCAAGATACTGTTACTTTCTTGTTTTCTCATGGTCACAAGCCTCAAAAGCTCACATACATGTCACCTGTCCAGAAAATAAGAGAACAACCAAAGTTCTTTTGCTAAGAGACCAAGATGACTCAGATACACATTTACTCATCATCCTTCAGCAAGATCCTGACCTAGAGCATGGGTCTCAAGTGCTTGCAACCGCTTGCAATGGATTCAGATGTTCAGCTTTAAGGTGTTGTTATAAACCAGCAACCCTCACACTCAGCAGATCACTACACCTCCTTAACCAGGTCTGGAATCACAGGGGGAAAACCCTGGTAAGAACAACTGAGGCACCAGGATTAATCATCTTACTGCAAGAAAAGACATCCTGCCTACTGTTAGTCTCTCTGCACTGTAATTTATTAATTTGAAAAAAGGAACTGAATTTCCTTATTCCGTGATGAAGGATAAACAAATGAAGCAATTAAAATAAAACAAGACTATATGAACACATAAGAGACTGCTGCAAAGGCTTCATTTTCCCTAATCCCTATTAGTATTCGCAACATGTCCCATTTGTAGTAAACAGAAGTAACTAGGTTCTCTCTGTTGTGATGTTGAATAGGTTTCAAAGCAAGATGCCCTAACCTGAAGCCTTGACTTGTTAAGCCTGAATCTTCCTCTACTGTGAAAATGTCTTAGGATGGATTTATTCAGTGTTAAGGCAAAGCTGGACTGTAACGTATACTCTTAATAAAATCTATTGCCCACTTACCTGTCACAGCCTCAGTGCTGGCCCTCTTGCTCTGCTGTTTTCCCTTTTCTGCCCAGACATAAATGACATACTCCATGCCTGACTTCAGTCCTGCCAAGGTAGTGACATTCTTGTCTTTATCCACCTCTCTCTCCTCTGTGTCCCCATCAGCTGAGATATAGCTCACTCTGTATCTGTCTATTGAAGCCTGGACTTTGTTCCAGGAAACAGTAATTGCATCCTCTGTGACTTGGTCAGTCAGCAGCTCAGTTGGGCTGTCAATTTCTGGAAGTGAAAGTTGTAATTACTAGAAGTTTTAGTGTAATGCTGTGGTAATTACAATGGTCTAAAGACACAAACAACACAAGTTCTATAGCCAGAGTCAGTACCCTTTATCAGACTATGAAATCTGTTTTGGAAAAAAAGATGAGTTTTGGGAAATGCCCAAAGACCTGAAAAAGGTTTGTGTGTCCAAAAGCCTGCTTGTTTTTTTACCAGCTTAACCTGGTAAATCGAATAGAAGTTTTATCTTTAGCTATAAACTCTGTTTTGATCACGCAGTGTAAACAACTGACACTTGAGTGAGTCCCATTGGATATTACCATTTGTGCAGCCAAATAATTTTGTACTGTTGAATACAGTGCAAGGTAGACTTAAAAACAGGTGGTAACTGCTAGCACACCCTGCCATTCTTGATACATCGGTAAGCATACCTGCATGTCAGTGCCAAGGTGGCAAGACCCTGTGTTGGGCTGCTAATTTCTGCAGGAACAGTTAGGAGTGAAGAACACAAGTTCTCCCAATGATGCTACACTTACTTCTTCTCTTCAAGGGCCCTACCAATTTCTTCCACTTCTCATCCTTTATTTCTTATCAATGATAGGCCTAAACTACAAAGCTGGAGATGACCAATTCAGAGGTATTTCAGCTTGGGTCTAGGTCTCCTCTTCAAACTTGGAAGAGCAGGGCTTTCTGTTGGGGAGCAACAAAAATGCAGCCAGCCCTACATCGAGAGGAAAGCCCATGCAGAACTTGGTGTCTTTCGCTTTCTGAAGATCACAAGCTCTTGCCCCAGTTGGTCTGGGAATTAACCTCCCCAAAAAAACAAAATCACTTGTGCAGAATCCCTGTCTGAAATACACCTCTCCTGGAACAAGATTTTATAGTAAAGCAAAGCTTCCTACCTATCACAGCTCTGATGCCTGCTGAGCTCCCCTGTCTGCCTAGAGGCCAGTGGCATTATTTTTGTTTGGCTGCAGTCCTGTCAAAGCAATGATGCTCTGGTCCTTCCCCACCTCCACATCCTTTGTGTCCCCATCAGTTGTTTTGTCTCTTATCAAGTATCTCTCCACCAGAGGCCAGTGCCTATCCCAAGTTCATGACTGTGTCTTCTGTCAGCCATCTGGCCACTATATGGACACTAGAGTGGCAGTTTTTTTTGAGAACAGGTTTAAAGGTGAAGAAGAAGGCAACAGCAGTAGTGAAAACTAAGTTCACATTCTCCACTAGAAAAAAGCCACTTTCAACTCCCCCCATTATTACAGTAATTCCCCTGCCCTTTCACAGGTGGAAACATGCCACTATGTTTCACAAGCCTTAAGCCACTATGACAACAAAGCCTGCAGGAATGGGCCCTTCAAGGACAGCCTTTACACAACCTTCACACAGAGCACAGGGCTTTTTTTGCTGGATTTTTTTTCTTCACTGAGCTGCTAAACACATCTCAGCATCCTGAGCAATGGAAGATCTGCAGATGCCTCCCAGACTGTGGGAACAGCATTTCTAATTCTCCTGCAGGCTTTAAACTCGAGGGCATAAATGCACAACCAACAGCCACACTGTAATTTACCGCACATCAGTGTGATTTATCACACATTAGTGGTTGTAAAAGTTGTGATTTTCCACCTGTGTGTACTAATTTCACTTCTTTTGCAAGATGAAAATTCATTTTAATGAAAGATGCTGAAGCTTATTTGTGTTTTTTGTCAACCTAGAGCGGCACACACTAGGAACTTGTGTTTGAATAATCACAGCTCAGCTAGCAGCAGAAGATCCTCACCTGTGGCAACAAAAATCAAGTTAATTATTTTCTTGTGCGATATGAAAATCAAGTTTGTTCTTTAGTTATAATTGTGCTGCAGCTGCGTATGGGCTGTGCCTGTATGCATATGCAGTGCATTTAACTTCTTAACTTCCTGAGCCGTCCATAAGCCTCCCAGCCAGTCCCCTGAGTCAGTGAGAACATGAGCTGTCTTGAGACAATGGACCAATTGAAAGCTGATGATTGACTGAGCTTCTTAATTAAGTATTTGACTGATCCTTACTGATCCCCTCTGGATGGGAACCTCAGGCAGTCCTACAAATTCCCTGAGACAGCTCTTGTGTCTAGTCCAATTTATATGCTTGAATATGTTGGTTAACATCCTGAGTGGAGCATCCCAAACACTCCCCTAGGAAATATCTGCTATTGAAGTGCAGATTGCGCATAGATAAGACATTTGTAAATAGTCAGTACAAACTGCTCTTGTACCTACAGCCACACTAAACAGTGGCTGGCTGGAGTATAAGAACTGAGCAGAACAGAGGCTTAAGGAGTTTCCCAACCCAGCTGCAACCAGTACTGCAAGCATCCTCCAATGGAAACTTCTTGCCATCAAGAGACAGCAACCAAACATCCTGTTCAGGAAATTTTACTCCCCTCTTAATTTATGCCATGATCTAAATAAATGATTTTCCTCTCTGGAAAACGCTCTGGCATGACTACCTGTGCAAAATGTGTATAAGCCCCCTGTCTTTTTTGGGAAAAGCTACAACAGTCACCCAAAGAAAAGCCTGGAGTTGGTTTATGGTATTTTAAAGGCAAGACATGAATTACATATTCCAGTTACGAGGCTTTAGTTTTTTCTGTGTTTCACTGTGCTTTGTAGTAATAGCAACTGACGCCTTGCCATACACAAGGACTCAAAACAGGGTCTTTGAGCTGGAGACCTGTTCAACCACACTAGTAAGAATGACATGAATTTTTGCCTCACTAAAAAAGCATGCAAATCAGAAAAAGCTTCAGTAAAACAAGTAAAAGCTGATGGAGGAGTTTGAATTTCAAACTCACCTCTCACCACTGCTGCTGCTACAACTTACCTGTCACAGCTCTGGCGCTTGCTTTCTTGCTCCTATAGGGCCCCTTCTCTGCCCAGATGTAGATGATGTATTGCATGCCTGGGTCCAGATCCCATAAGGTGACCGTGTCATTTTCACTCCCCACCTCTATTTCCTTTGCGTCTCCATCAAGTGAGGTATATTTCACCATGTACCTGTCTATGGGAGCCTCAACTTTATTCCATGAGACCGTGGCCATATCTTCTGTCACTTGGTCAGCCGTCACATTGGTTGGGGTATCAATTCCTGAGAAGATTTCAAGGTGCAGGATTAGGAATCTCCAGCTAAACAAGGCGAAAGACTGAGCTGGGGCTAGGTTTATTGTTTAATAAAGTGTAGACAAGCTTAAAGAGATCTGCCTGCAGGTCCTGCATGAAGAAGCAGCCAACTGTGCACCTTTTGTGCTGAGATCATGACAGATCTGTCCCCAAACCCTGTAGAAACATCACTATCATTAAAGAAGCTTTCTACATACCAGTCCTACCACTCACTGAGGATGGCTTCCCCTCTATATTGTCTGTCATGGGTATGACAGTGACCTCGTACTCAGTGCCAGGCTTCAAGCCTACAAAGAGAAAAAGGGAAAGTTACCAACAAATAGGGAAGACAGTATCTTTTTCTTAAAGAAAGCTATTTTGTTTAGTCTATTCCAGTTTTAGGTTTGTAGCAGAGAGGAACTTAAAGGTTAGATTTCTACCTAAATTGCTTTTGTCTTAAGAATGCCTTGATAGCACTTTTGGTCTGAGCTTGCCTTGAGGGCATACACCGACTGCAGCAAATGGAGATTTCTATATAACATCAGTGTTACCAGCTCTGAAATAGGATGTGCTTTATTCCTAACAAGGACAGAATTAAAGCTGAATTAATATGCCTTGAAGCATAGAAGTTTTCTCCCTCTGAAGACACATTAGTTATGGGATAGGGAAACCCTAATAGATCTCACCCTGGCCTATGGCAGGCACAAGGTGAAGGAAAACTGGCCATCCACACATGAGAGAAGCATCATCTCAGGACTACGGTCTGACCATCAATCACTCCTGTAATTTCTTCCTGCCCCTGCCTAGTTTGGGATAGCCACAAGTACTCACCAGTCATGATGTGTCTGCTCTTAGGGTGACTGCTTTTGGGTACCATGACCTGCTTCTCATCCATCTCCGCCAGGGATCTGAACTTCAGCTTGTAATAATCCACATCTGTTGGTGGGTTCTCCCACTCCACTTCCAGATTTCTTCTGTCATCCAGATGGCACTGAGTGCAGATAGAACTGGGAAGAACAGCAGAGGGTTGAGGAAGCAGCATCAGCACAAAAAGGTAAATATAAGATAGGAAGTTGTTAAACAGTCCTTCCTGCCCAGTCACCTGCTTCCGAGACCCAAGGCATTTTCCTGAGCCAAACGAAAGTCTTAAGCAAGTACAGCACAATAATTGTTTGAACATGGTAACACTCCAACTCAAGAGTTTTCTGGCTCTCAGCTCCCACTTGTTGTGTTAGAAAAATGTCAAAATAATCAAATTTTCAACTATTTCTTCTAAGTCCAGGCAAACAGCATAATGTCATCTGCTTACACAATAGCATTTCACTTCTCCAGAGACTGCTTCAAATATGCAATCTTTCCACACACGATTTTCTGACCTCAGTAGAACCAGGCTTATACAGTCCTAGGAAGAGACTATCAGGAAAACCTCACTGCTGCAGACATGTTTGGCAAATTATTATCTAGGAATGACATTCTGTCTACTTTAAAGTCCCTTCTGCATCTGGTTAAACAGTGTGTTATTCTTAATAATGTCCTGGCTTTATCTTGCACACTTCTATTCCTTCTTCTTACAGTGGGGAACATTACAGATTCCCTGTAATTCAAGGGAGCCAATGCAAGCAGGATTTGGACAAGATAAAGCAAAATTTGCAATACATGCAGCCCTAATGATACATATCTGGGAACAGAATGAACAGAACAGAATTTTTTTTTCCCAGAAAAAAAATAAGTAAAATCAATGACAGAAAACTGCAACTGAAGCTGGGAAGAAAAAGTGCTCCCCAGCGCTCAGACAGGATACTACAAACCTGCAAAACCAAACAATTTGCTGTTTGAATCTAAAGATCTACAGCTTCTGACTGAAGAATACTGCCTGCTCCTACCTGTACTTGCTTCTAGATACTTGGGCTCACTAGCAGTTCCCTTCTTCACATGATGAAGTGTGATATTGTACATGGTGCCAGGCTGGAGACCCACAATCTCACAGATGAACTGTTCTTTGGGCATGTGGACTTGTTTCACCAGTGTCTCATACCCCACTGGGTAATAGCTGATGAGGTAATTATCTACATCAGTCATTGGATCCCAGCTGACAGCCAGAGACTTCTCTGTGGAGTTCAGTAGCTGCAGGTTCTGAGGAGCAAGCACTAGAAGAGAAACAAAGGAAAACATTGCAATGAGGTTGATGTCTTGTCACATGGCCAAGCGAGACACTTTTTCAAACCTATTCTGAGCACAAAGAGAATGCAGAACTATAAGCCCCAGTCTGAAGTCATCTTGGGTTTGTCCATTTCTGGTCAACAGCTTATCATTAAGTACAAATGAATACTACAGCCAGTAACAAATACAGTAATTTCCTGGATGACTCTTTACAGCTTCTAAACCCACACTGGCATGAAGAAAATATTCTCACAAAGCTGCTGCTTCCAATGTCTCTCGGAAGAAAAAGACAAGCCAAAACCTCCTTATTACTCGGTTATTCGAAACTGTCAACTGCTCCCCAAAACTGCGGAACAGCTTCTCCATGGAAGAGGCAGAAAACTAAGCTTTTCTACTGATGGAAACTTACACCCTGGAGGAGACCTGGGCAAATCCACTGCACACAATAGAATTCAGGACACCAACAGTGCCTTAGCCATTCTGCCACAAGACAGACAGCTCATCAGTGTCTTGAAAGCAACCCTTGAAAACATTCACTGTAAAACATCTGTCAGAAAGTTTACCTGATTTTAATTACAAGTAAGCAAATCATAAACTGATCAAACCATCTATGAGCTGTATTTCATTAGCAAGGCATCAATAGATAGCAAAGACCAGACAGCAAGTGCCTGTAAAAAGGAATGTGTCAGCAATATTAGGTCAGATAATATCAGGAATTCTTCTAACTTGAAAGGCAGCATTCATTCTCTTGTGTAATTCACAGCTTTCACTGAATTCTACCGTTGATATGCGCATGCCATTGCTTTTGACAAAACTCTGCACAAAATGCAAGAATGCTCATCCTGCCTTTTCTTACGATACAGAAGCTAGATTTGAATAGTCCATATTTGCAATAACATAATAAAGAACCTAAACACATATGATGTGGTTTATCCCTTGTCTAAGCATACCTCAGAAGAGGATTCTATCTGCCCCTCTGGAGAGATAAGGTGTAAGAAACAACTATCATCTTCTTAGGGCAATGCCTAGGATAGTTTGTTTCCAAGCAGGATATTCTGACAAGGGCTTCTTGCAAAGGCAGTAACTTTCTCGGCCAAGAGAATCTGCTTTTGCAATGTGTTTGCTTGATCTGCCCTAAGCTGCTCCAGAGCCATCTTCTCCAACCAATGACAACCCCAAGCACTTCAGGATTTGATAAAAACATGCCTGGTCAGGGCCAGGGCTGTGAAGGGGAAGGAGACAACTGCCTGGCCTTGGTAACCCTCAAAAACCTCCTGCTCTTGCTCTCCAGCAGCCGAGGACATCCCAGCCTGAAGAGAAAGGGTTCATCAGAGGCACAGCACCAATTGTTCAGGTGAATTAGGAGGACGGGTGGTTGTGGGCTGTGCCAGAGTCCATCTTGTGTTCTGCTCACTCTCATTAATCTCTGTCCATCAGGCAGCTTCTGCTCCAGAAGCAGGCTGAGGTCCTAATGGCTGAAGCAAGCAGGAAATGAGCAGCACATTTAGAGATCCAGTGCTGGGCTGAGAGCTCAGGTGGGGGATTGTGGGGAGCCTTGGCTCCCCTGGGAACACCAGAGTGTCCCTCTTTATTTTCTTTTCCAATTTCCTGATTATAGCATCATCACAAAGACTTCCTGGTTAAACTAATACTGTGCCAAGATATCACAGAACTGGTTTTGTGGATACCGTCGCTTTAAGGTATTCATTTATTCATCTTCAGATATACCACAGTGTTATTTTGGAGTGCCAGTAAACAAAGCCCAGAAAGAGCACAGGCTAATACCCTGTTTTCATGCAGACCTCATGTTTGGATGAGGTATTTGAGCTAGTAATATTTTAAATAACAGACAAGTCTCTAAGCAGATAGATCAAGCCTGAGAGATGAGGGATAACCCAGAGCAAAGAAGACTTGAAAGCAAGGTCACTACAAGCCCTTATTGAGCAATACCTGGCGCTCAGTGTGTGTCTGTTGCTTATTTATCCTTTATGAGGAGCTGTGCAAGATTAGACCAAGCAGTGAAGGAAAGGTGGCTTTCAGAGTAAAAGGCTGAATGCTGAAACCTGGAATATCAACCGGTGGTTGCATGAAGCTCATAGGTTTTTCAGAGTCAAGCGGAAACTGCTGGACACACATCTTGAGGTCAGCTCTCTCAGGTCTTCTCAAGCAAATCCTACTGCTTTGTAGCAAAGCAGGAGAAGGGAGAATTTCCCAAAGACCTCACTTCAAAAGGAGATTAAAGGATTTATGCATCCTTTGCCTCACAGGTTTTATCACATCAACTGCCTTATCATCAAGGAGTGCACACTGCAGCAAACATGATTTTACCTTCTATGGTCTAATTTGTACGTCAACAAACAGAATCTGGCTCCCTCTTCAATTATAGGCTCCATACAGTTTTGTTTTTCCCTTCAGCTGCTACACACAGGTTTGTGCAGCACTGTCTTTAACTGCTTTTTCACCTTTCCCCAATTCAACAACTTTTCCAGGCAATTCTTTACAACAAGGATCAGTCACCAGTGCCTAGCCCAGCAGGAGCTCAGAGAAGAACATTCTGACCCCACACTTAGCTACTACAGCATTAACCAAATAATTACAGAAGATAGAAAACTCAGCTTAAAAGCATGAAGGGAGAAATAACTCACAGGAATGTCTTACCCTGGGAGCAGTCAAGGCCAAAGAAGCCGTCATGGCAGTAGCACTCTCCTGTGTCACAGAACCCATTGCCACTGCAGTCCCCAGGACATCGTTTCTCACTGCAGTCCTCCCCGATGAACTCCTCATAGCACTGGCAGACCCCTTTGGCTGTGTCGCAGATCCCATTGCTGCTGCAGTTCTCAGGGCAAAGCTGATGGCTGCAGTCCTCACCGAAGTGAGGCTCATCACAGTTACACTTCCCACCATCACAGCGCCCATGGCCACTGCAGTGGCTGGGGCAGGAAGGACGGGAGCAGTCATTGCCCTCCCAGCCCTCAGCACACTTACAGCTGCACGTCTCATAGAGGAACGTCCCATGGCCACTGCAATGTGAGACATCTGGCCAGAGCAGCACCCGGATGCACAACAGCAAGTGTGACACACAGATGAGAGAAAATAAACAAGTAAAATTAGGAATATAACAATGCAAAGGTAGTGAAAAGGTGTGCTCAAGGTCATTAAAGGAAAAGCATAAATATCACTGGAAAACACGGGCTGAAAAATACTTGAGGACATGACCATCTCCATCCGCTCCAGGTCCGAAGAGGAACCAGCTCCACTCTTGCCTTTCCCAACACATTTTTCTATCACTATCAGGAATGCAGATTCCATGACTGCCCCAGAGAGCCAATTAGAAAGCTTTTCACAACCTCTAACCTGAATCTTCCTACTTGTAATTTAAGCTCACCATTTCTCACCACAGTTATAAAGATGGAGAGCACGTTATTCTTATCTGTTATATGCCTGTACTTTTCATGTAAGCAAAGGCTTAGCACTTCTCCCTGTCTCCATTACCCAAAGAACATTAGTTTATTAAATCTTTTCTTAGAGGACTTTGATCACAGGCAGAGCCTGTGGCCAGCACAAAGCATTAAAAACTCTGCTCTTCTTTCAGTCAGTTATCAAGGAGGAAATAAACAGACAAATTCTCAACTGCAGAATTATGAAGGCAAAAGTAAGAAAGGAAAAGACAGCAACAAGAAGTACCTCCTCCATCTTCCACCCTCGTCTTCCAGGAATTTGTCCACTGAATCCTCCCACCTCTGTAAAAGTCAAGAATTTGTTCCAGTCCACTTTTCCCCTGCACTGGTTTCAGAAGTTGTACATACTACCACATTTTGGGACCTTCGGATCTTTCACATCACAGAAACCAGAGCACCTTCCCATCTGTAGGACTAGGACATTTCACTCACAGAGAATCCCCAATAACCATGAAAAATGGATTCCAGTTCCCAAACTCTGCAGTAAATAGGCTGTATCTGGGATGTAAGAACAGATACTGGAATTCTTACTTACCTCTGCTTCCCCCACAGCACTTCTCAGGGCTGCAAACTTCTCTCAGCTCTGCCACTTCTTTCTCAAGCTTCTCTATCCTTTCAAGCAGACCTTTAATGTGGGTCAAAGTTTCACAGTCTCCTTTGGGTGCGTGCACATGGATATTATGCCTAAAGCTTATATTCTGCTCTTCATTATCCTCAGCCTCTCCAGGATCTAGCTGCACTCTGCTGTTGTCTTCACGCTGGAATGGATCTGCCTCCACCTTAATCTGGGAGGATGTGGGCAGGTCAGTCTTGTAGGAGTGGCTGAAGGATATTCTTTGACCATCGCTGGTGCAGTTGTGAGATGCAGGATGTTGAATAGCAGATGTCTGAAGAGCACAGCACAGCAATACCCCCACTGGAAAGGCAAGCCAAATCTGGAAATCCATCTGGCAGATTTTCAGAGGGAGCACTGACTCCTCAAACAGCACAGGTGCTTCAAGAAAAAGAAAAGAAATTAAACTGTGTGGTTATAAAGTTGGCTTTCATGATTTCTCTTAAAAAAAAAAAAAAAACAAAACAAAAAACAAAACAAAACAAAACAAAAAAAAAAAAAAAAAAAAAAACCAACCCAAACCACAGTTATTTGTTTTGCCCTAACTTAGTACTAGGTTGATAGAGCACCTGCACTGAACACTGGATTCACTTGAAGGATTAAGTTTATTTTGCTTTGACTCAGTTATCTGATTTGTTATCTCAGCATTGGGAAGGTTGATATAGAAGTTACTGGAGCAAATCTGTTAACACATGGAGCGAGAGGATGTTGCAAACCCATCTGTTTCCCATTTTTCTATTTCAAAAACAGTCCTTCTTTCCTACCCTGCATAAATAAATACATAGGAAGAGCATGGTTTCGGGCTGATTAAGTCTCAGAACTAAGCCTTAAAAATAAATATGTATTAATGTTTACCTGCATTGACATTTAGAGTTCAAATCTGAAATCTGAACATTTAAGCTTAAAGTCCTCAGATACAGTCTTTAACAGAAACAAAACTGTTTTGTTAACCAAGTGAGATTTTTTGACTTAAGAAACTAACACCTTAGAAGTAAGAATAACAAGAAGGAAGAAACTGAACAAACACAGGTAGAAGGATAAAATGTAAAGTTAGAAACATAAATTTATTAGTTGGTTTGGCTTATTCACTGTTACAAGCTGAGTTTAGGCACTAATGGTAGATTTCAATCTGTACAGGAGGTGATACATACTTGGTTAAATACTTACAATTTCATATCACACAATGCAAATACAAAATGCCACCAAATGTGACTAAGTAAGAAGTCATGTTATTCATTGCACTAGAAGAAACATCATTATTTAATTGCTAAATTAGGTAACATGATAACTAGAAAGCATTTGGCCAGTAGGTATCCATAGTAACAGCACATCTGAACTTAGATAATAGTGCTGCCCCAGATAGTACTTTATAAAGTAGGAGGACTCCATTCCTAAAGAATCGTACTAAATTTTCAGCTCCTCTGCTATTTCCATTATCATCACATTTCTGAAAGCCATCCTGAGTTATAATGAAAATTAACTGTTTCTGTGAAACATCCTTATATCTCCTAAATGTCTGCCAAAACTTTGGAAATATCCCTACTATTATATTCGTGCCTTACAGCTACAGGAAGGTGCCCTTTATGCTCAGAAACATGAGGCTTTGGTTGCTAAAATCCATCAACATTGGAAATACATATTATACCTACTTATACCTATACTGCAAGTCACTCTGGTGCATCTCTCTTCAAGCAAAATCATCACTGAAATCAACAAAAATGGGGTAGAGATTTCAAGATTCAGTTTACAATTCTTTATCTTGTTGTATTTATCTAAGGGAATTATCTCTGCTGCTTATTCCCAAATAGCAGTTTGGTTGGGTTCCCCCCCCCCCCATTCAGCACTTACCTACCTTTAACTAACAGTAAAAGAAAGGGGGGGAGGAAGTATGCTGCTTTGCAGAGGCAGGGCTTCTTTCCTGTCTCTGTCTCCTGAGAATTTGCAGATACCTGTTTGTGACCTAAGATGCATTTTTCCACCCTGACCCACCTGCTATTCTGTTTCCCTCAAAGACACACAGAAACTAATTAATATCTTTCTTTTTCTGCTGTGTAGACTTCTGAAACAAATGAAGATGTTAAGAGATTGCTTCAAAGCTGTGAACAAATTTAATGTCTACGTTCTACAGATCTTCACCAGTCCATTGCAGGAAACCCCAAAAGCTTTGTGTTGTGGGATTTATTTCCAAACCCCTGGAGATGACTCCCCCCAAACCACTCCTACTACCCCAGACAGACACATGCACAAAAACCCTTTGCTCAGCATCAAGTGCTGAAGAGCATTCTGGGTTGGAACATGATGTCATTACTAATTAGGGCTTCATGGGAACCACAAATTGATTTCAGATTTTCCTGGTCTTAGAGATCATTCAGGAGGAAAAAACCCTGAATATAAGCATTTTTGTTAAGCGTAATGAAAGAGGACAGCTCTTTTGGCTTCTTCATCATGTAATAAAGACATTTTCCTCTGCTGTTAAAAAGGGTGTGATTAACTGATTCTTCATGGAGAATATAATGTCATATGTATGACTGGCAATAACAGCAGATTAGGGAAAGGACTAATCTGGGAAAGAATGCTAAACAGCCAGATCTACTAGGCACAGAATATTCTTACAAGGAAAAGGATAGAAGAAGCCCTGCTCACATCTTTCCAACCTTTACAAAGGAAAGCACAGGATGATCAAAGCTGGAGAGAGCCTACTGTATTCATATGAAAGACTCCAATGATCTTTTTCCATCCTACAGGTCAGTGCTTGAAGGTCTGAGGTATAGGCCTTTGCAGTATTGTCTTCTGCACCCAGTCAGCCACAGGAGATGCATGTCTGGAAGCTGCTTCAATGAAGGCAAGAATGTAGACAGTCTGCAGGGTGACACCCAGGCAACATGAGATAGGAGTAGGGAGAGAAAAGGAAACTTGTAGTTACAGGAGAAGGAAATGCAGGTCTAGAACAGCTCCAGGACTGCAGAAAAAGAAGACAGAGAATTATAAGATCAAAGATTGAGAAATGTGGCAGAGTAGAGGACGTACATATACAAGCAGCAAGAGTTATGCGACACAACATTAGAAGCAACACACACTGAAGTTGTGGAAAACAGCCTGGAAAAAAGGATATGCAGTGAAAGGAGGCACAGGGTGAGACCTGAGCTTTGCAAGCACAAAGGGAGACTACAACGTGCAATTTTTTGAGCACAGCTTTTTGCACACTAGGGCTAGAACAGAAGCTGCCAAATTGTTGAAGAGACATGAGAGCTGACAGTTTCCTAATTGATAAGTTAGAAAATTGCATGTTTAATCAGGGGAGGTTTTCGAGGAATACAAAAGAAACAAGTATTAGAAGACAAGTCAAAGTCTTTGGCAAGTTCACAGAAGTGCTGTTGATATCCAAACAGCCATCACTTACTTCAGGAGGTCCCAAGAAAAGCAGCAACAGACCTGCCTGAACAACACTAGAAAGGTATCATTTAAGGTCAGGAGACACAAGCATTATCAGTGGCCGATATCCCTCATGTGCTCTGCCCTCAAATAGATGTCGACTGTAGAATGCCATACTGTTGAAAGTATGGAGATGGGAGCAGGGGAGCACACAGCAGCAGCCTGTGAAGAAGGAAATACACCTGCAGAGGCACATGGCAAAGTTGTGTTCTTGGGTACAGAAGCAGATATAACAACACAGAAATTGATAAACCAGCTCATCTCTGAGTGAGTTAGAACACAGTTATGATCCTTGCATCTCGCAATGCTTTTAGCAATAAAGAATGACAAGTCAGTAACACCAAAGAGCAGAACACATTCATTGGGGTTACTATTTTTTCATAGCAGACTGATAAAAGTGAAGGGAGGGCCATAATATATACAAAATGATGATACTACTGTTCACTATTGCTACTACTACTACTGCTAATGGGCTAAGAAGTCTAGCCCATTTTCTTTCTGCTTTACGTTTTTCTCAGTGAATCATTCAGCTGAGACAAGCTATTAATTTTACAGACTTTCCATAAGTATAATTTAGTTTAATCAATAGGATTATTTGTCTCCATTTTCTGTGGTGAAAATATTTTACTGTTCCAAAGCTCACATGCTTTAGAAAGCTCTGCATCAGGTTTCCTTTCTTCTGATATTGGTCATAGAAGTAATAAGCCAGCCAGCATTCTGTTTTCAATATTATGTAACCTTCACAGAATTAATGGCTGTAATTAAGGCAACCAATGACTGCCAACAAAAAAAATGCACGCATTAATTTAACAAGGTTGTTTCTTTCACAAGCACCTTTTTTTTTAATTCAAGACTGAATAAACGTTACCTATTTGAAATAATTAAAAGAAAAGCAGAAGTACAGTCAGCCGGGGAGGGGCTGTGCTTCTAGATTTATCCTTATGTTTACCTTTTCTTTTACACTAATTCTTCTGCAGTGTCTGATAAGCAAAATGTACTAACTGCTCATACATGAATGAGGCTGCTTCCAAAATCCTACTTACTCATTAGAAAGTGAAGAGGAACTTAACAGTATTTGCACATTTGCTTGTTACTATATATATGCATTTTGTAAAAAATGATGCAGCTAAATCATTAGCTTCCACTCTAAGTTACTTTGTCTTTCCTGAAACAAATCTTTGTTCTGTTGCCTGCACAGCTCAAAAATGTTGTAACGCCTGCATTTGGTCAATTTTAGTTATCCAATTAATGAAATTTTAATTATAAATAATATAATCAATAAAGTACTTATATTGAGTAAATATTATGTGTGGTAAAGAACTTCTACTGTTTTCCACCACTGAGCCTGTGAAAAGATGTACTAGAAAGAATAGCAAGAGCTTTTGGATAGAAAAATATCAACCAGTTACCAAGAGTGTTTGCTGCAATTACATGTAATCAAATTCCAGTATAATCTCATAATAAAAGAAGGGGCTTTTAAAACAACTACTGTCACACAAATCTGACCCTAAAATAGAAAGTACTGGGACAAGCATTCTGCAATAATTGTAAGTTAAATCCTAGCTCTATTAAAGCCAAAAGCAAAACGCTGATTTACTCTATCAAATATGAGGTTGGAGAACTCAAGCCCTTTGAAATGGAGTGACATTAAATACTACCATACATTTTGCAATAACACTACATGCCCATAATACAGGATTATTGATGTTTGTGTAAGGCTTTCACAGCCTTGGAGGGCATCTGCTATAGGAAGTCAAAATAAAAATTGCTTGGGTTTTTCATTCAGAGCAAGCAACAGGAATCTCATAAGAAATAAAAATACTTTTCTCTTACCTTTCAAGCACTTTCATCTGTCTGATTCAGAGCCTTTCTGATGCAGCCACCACTTGCAAAGGTAATTCAAACAAGCTGGAAGGTCACCAAGTCCTCTCCTCTTCCCACTCCAGCTGGAAACCAGCAGTACTCTCTGCGGTGAATTTAAGTCCCCATTGACCAGAGGAAAGGAACCAATAGAGACCTTGGGGTGTTTCCCTCCCACAAACCACCTAAGGAGCAATTGCCCTAGTCAGTATCACTCTTTCACACTAGCACAAAGAATCATCTCCTACTTTTTTAATGCTCTGTTTCTACTTAAAAGCCAGAAAACCTTTCCAGCCCTGCAAATCTGGCTGCAAACATCCCAGAATTATCACTGAGGCCCACGTATTGACAAGCACATTTGTAGTACTAATGATGTGAAATTCAGCTGGAGTAACACAGAAAATTAAAATAAAACACCTTAAAAACCAGCAGTAAACACAATACTGCGCTTATCCAGTGCGATACTTACAAAAACAACAACAACAAAAAAAACCCAACAAAACACAAAACCCCCCAAAACAAAAAAAACCCAAACAAAACCAAAACCAAGCTAACCTTGAGAACTTAAAGTAAATTACATTTTGTGGGCATTGTTAAAGTACCTGCATGATTACTTTAACCACGTGCATTATTGAACTCAGTTTTCAGCTAACAAACTCTCTGTTTCCTCCCATCTGCTTTGCTTTACTGCAACCTCAGCTGTGCTGAGGGAGCTGAAGACGGCAGCAGCCTAAGAGCTATCATCACGCCTCATTAGCCTCTGCCAATCTCAGTCACTGCAACAGGGGGATGAAGTTTAGAGTGTACTTACAGTGCTGAACACGGTAAATACCACTAACTCACACTGGGGATCCAAGCTTTCTCACTTAGTTTGCATTTTGTAAAGCTGTAGGTACCAAACACTTTGTCCTAGGCAACCCCATTACAGAAAGGGAACAGTAGCACTGCAACGCAACACAACTGGTCTCACCTCCACAGCTGGGAAAGTGCTGGTGACACAGGTGATGCTGTTGAGCAGGGCAGAGATTCAGCCCTGGCTGAAGAAATACTTCTCTTTCCCATACTCTTTAGCTCCTCACTCAGCCAGATCACCTAACAAACACAGGGAGACCAAGGGGAAGTGGAACAAAATATAGTAGGAAAAAAATGCACACTCTAACATGCAAATGACCTTTGTTTGTATGTGGCTCTCTGCTTTGTTTGCCCTGCTAATATTCTACAGATTGATGCAAAGCTGAAAAAATTGCAAGTTATAGATCATAACATCAGGAAATTGAAATTCTCTCCCTGCAAACACCAGAAACCTTCCAAGCCAGTCATGCATTGACACACAATATCACCAGGAAGCATGGCCACAAACAGCCCGAGTTTTGAACTGGATGCTCACAGAAGGATTGCAGCCCACAGACTGAGACTTGCCTGTTGCTGCAGTTTCTCTCGTGCAAGTTTAAGAGCAGTCTTTCAACTTCTCAGAGTATGAAGAGAGCACAGAGAGATGGGAAACAAGGCCAGTGACAAGCATCTCACCTCTCTGGGGCTCATGAGACCCATCTAAAGCAAGGAAAACTGAACGTAGCTGTCCCTCTATGCCTGTTTAATGCTCTGTGTAACAGGTATTAGAGGTTTCAGCCTGGCACATCCACAGAACAAAAGTCATCAGAACAGCTAACACCTGGGTTGGCAAGGCAGCCAGAAACTGAAGAGGCTCTGGAGAATCAACCACTTCATCAGCACCAAAAATGGCTTCTTTGCACTGATGACCATCACCTGCCCCACCAGCCTATGTGGGTAAGTTACTGCGGAACCTGTTGCTGCTGATTCCAGGATGGATAATGAAATTTGACTGCATTAGTCTGCCAATTTGGCCCCTTCTTCCAGATTACACCTGTATACCCCAGAACCAATATAGTATACCAGGCATTGAAGTAAAATGCCAGGCACACAGACAAAAAGCAGCATGAGAAACTGAGAGAGAATCCATCTTCTCGCTGGACTTTTTGGGTGTAGGTAACAAGGTGACATGAACAGAAAATGTAATTGAAATTATTCGTTCAACAGATAAAACTTAATGGATGTTCTCCCCAAAAGCAGGACATAGACTTATTTGAAACACTGCCTAAGTGGAGTCCTAGTTGGTAAAACAGGAAAGTTTCAGGGCAGCTTAGAGCAACCGAAGAATTTTCCACTGTTCAGCATTATGATTATTCAGTGCTGTTTTTAAATGCTGAAACTTACCCAAAATTCATGAGTTGAAAAAAATGCAGAATGCTGATATAAATTTAGGAATAGTGCTAGGTGATAAGCAAGCAAAGAAACTGTTAAGAAACAAAACTAAAACCACACTGAAGAAGACAGCTAGCAGATAACCTCATATACAGCAGGATAAATGTGCTTTTCTGGACAGGGACCCCAAAATGTGGTGTGATGCCTATGCATTACGTTTTCCTGGTAGGACTCTTTTCCCTGTCATTTGTACTGACTTTCCTCTCCAACCTAGGATCCTTGTGGTCCACCCTGAGTTGGATCCTGAGGTTTCTGTGGAAGTTGCCAGCTCCCTCTAATGACGGATGGTACCAGCGAGGCTTGGCATCAGCACTGGGGTATGCAGCACAGCCCTCTAAAGTGGTTTGGATTCTCCCTGTACTTTTTCCACCCGCAAAGGCGCTGGAAATAGAGTCACTGCACAAGGGCTGTTGCGGAGAGCAAAGCTCAGCCCGACGGAGCAGGCACCGCCGCCCGCCCGCAGGGGGCGCACCGAGAGCCCCGGACCCAGCACCGGGAGCCCTACCCACCCCCCCACACCCGCGGGGTCTTCAGCGCATGCGCGGCCCCGCCGCGGCTCTCCGAGAAGATGGCGGTGTCCTCGCTGTGCTGGGCGTTGCGGGCCGCTCGGCAGGTCAGCACGGGTCACTCCCGGCTCTGCTCCCCTTCGCGACCGCGGCCGGCCTCGGGAGCGGGCAGGGACGACCAGGGGCTGCGGGGCTTGTTAGACCGGCGGGTGCGGCGACGGAAACAACGCGGGTGTGGGTGCAGCTGCGGGTTATTCGTGCCCCGGGTGTCGTGAATTCCTTGCTGGCTTCTGTCAGCTGGGCGGGATCACACGTTACAGTTAGTGGGCAGGAGCAAGGAAGTAGTTTGAAGGAGTCTGACAAAGAGACATCTGTGGAAATAATTCATACTTGGGTCGGGCAAAGTGTGCGGCAGGCGGGTGTTATTACAGGCTTCATTCTTTTAATCAGGTTCTCCCCTCGCCCTGCACTAGCCAAGTGCGGAGCTATTACGTGGATTGGAGGATGCTGCGGGATGTCAAGAGGAGGAAGCTAGCGTACGAGTACGCGGACGAGAGGCTGCGGATCAACGCCATCCGGAAGAACACCCTCCTCCCCAAGGAGCTACAGGTACTGGGCAGCCGCCCCGGCCTTTGCTGCGGCGGCCGCGTTTATGGGCCGTGCCAGGTCATGGATGTTTGCGATTCCCAAAGTCAGTGGCCCAGGACCATGTCACACAGCATAGCTACTGCTAGCGCCCAGCGTCTGCAGCCTTTTGGGAGTGTTTACAACAGGGTATTCGCCTGACTAGCGGCTGTGTGTGTTGGGTTGTGGGTTTGGGTTTTTTAAACCAGTGCTTCTCCTGTAAGCAGTATATGTAACACTACATGCGATAAAGTGTGTTCCTTCCCCCTCCCCTAGCTGCACTATCATGCATTCAGAAAGCTATTTTCCTTATTTCTGCTATTATGAGATATTATATGGTTACTTGTAGAACTTCCCAAATAAACATTTTTTTTCTTTAAAAACTTGAAAGCCTGATCCAGTCAAAAGCACCAATTTGTTCAACTAGAAGTACTTAATTTTATTTCTTGCCTGAGCTACAAGCATGCAAAAGCTGCATCAGATTTGGGCACTAGAGCTGTTCTTAAAAAGGCACCTACTCGCTGCCCAGCTCACAGCCTTCCTTACTAATCATTAAAAACATTTATGTCAGAAATATTCCTGTACATATTTGGTCTGGTCATACCTAATTGTGGGAAGGTCCTTACATGCTTAAACATCCTTGGAGAGAAAGTATATGGATCTGCTTTTATATATTGACTTTACTATTGTCTTGGCAAGTCTAGTCTATGTGGATGTCCTTACAGAACAAAAGCAGATTGCGGCTGGCCTTGCTTTTGCTGTTCCTCAGCTGCTTTTGTCACCGTTTGAAGTCACTAAGTTATAGCAGCAGTTAGAAGAAAAAGACTCCAGGAAAGTAACTTTTATCTCTCCTGCAAAAAGTCATTTAGGCTCCATATTTAAAGACTTTAAAAGTAAGTAATGAGTATTCTCTGAAAGCAGAGGTTACTTTCTTAAAAAAAAAAAAAATCCTAGGAATTAAATAGGTAGATAAAGTACTGCAGATGTTTGGCTGTACTAGGGGCACATAAAGGTAGAGCTATACACATAGGTAAGATACACAACTGAACAAAACCAGTAACTGAAATATGTTCTGAAGACAAGCAGGCCTCCTGACCTTGCTGTTATTAAAGTTGAAAGTCACAGTGCTGACCTTTTGGAAGATAGCCCTTACACTTGCTTTTCGCCTGTAGCGTAAGAGGAGTGTTTGTAGTCCAGCCTCATGCCTTCCTTTCACTTCCAACTGTGACTGAACATGGGCTTCTTTGAGCCCTTCTGTCCTTCAGAAAATAGTATATTAAGAATGCTGCAGTTAGGGATGCATATCCAGCCTCAATCAACTTCCTTTAGGGTACATTTCCTTGCTGAGCTCACCTTTTCTGACACTGCTGCTACCTGGTGTTTCCTGAAAACTGGTGAGCTCTTTAGTTATATGTAGAAAGACCTATCTTAAGCCTTCTCATTAAAAGAGACAGTAAGGGTCAAAGGGAGACAAGTGTCTTCTTGGACTTCTCTGGCTGCAACTCTTGGTGTCAGTAAAAGGGATCTTGTGTATATCAAAGCATGTTACCTAAGAGGGCAATTAATAAGGAAGGTATATTTAAATTCAGCCCATGTTAAAGGATTAGCACACCCTACAGTAAGAAGAAAGCCAAGCGGATTTTGACTAACCATAATTTCCGGCTTCAGGCTGTTCAGTTTGTGTAATAAGGTTACTTTGGGGTCTCCTTGTGAATCATTTTACATTTGCCCTTAGGATGCCCAGAAAGAAGGGGTGAAGGCAGGTAAGCATACTTACGAGGTAGTAGAGCAGCTCATGACAGTACCTACTCTACAGCTAGATTCTGAGGTCTGACAATAAGCCCCTGCAAACTCTTGGTGAATACAGGTAACTCTGTGGTGTGGTCTTCTGTTTTAGGAAGTGGCTGATAAAGAGATTGCTGACCTGCCCCGGGACAGCTGCCCTTCGAGGATCCACAATAGGTGTGTTCTGACATCCCGCCCTCGGGGGGTGAAGCGGCGCTGGAGGCTCAGCAGAATAGTTTTCCGCCATTTTGCTGACCATGGTGAGATGTCTGGGATACAGAGGGCCATGTGGTAGATCCCTGCATGGATATACACTCAGGCTGAAAACATGAAGCAAGTTCAGTCTGTGTTTGAGTTAAAGCAAGACTGTCCTGTCCAAGAGTCCAGCACCAGCATCAAACTGATAAAGGCAGGATGAGAAGCCATGCTGATGCATTAAACTCACCGGATCACAGCTGGTAGGAGTTGACAAGAAACAGCGTAACCACATCAAACTTGTCTGTATGAGGCAGTTTTATTTTGAGGGAAAAAAAAATCACTACCAGAGGGCTGCAGAACTAAGCTGAGGTTTGTGATAAAGGCAACATTAGAAATAAAGACATACAGCACAAGGCTTGTTTAAGCAGTTGTTTTGTCACTGTACGGTAAGTTCACCATGGTAATTTGGGTAAAAGCACAACAGGGAAAAGTGGTATTCTGAACAAGGGTGAGCACAAACTGAAAACAAAACATGGCCTCAAATTAGATACCCTTGCTATGCAAAAATATATGTATAATAACAAGAAGACCAAGTGGATAACAGACCCATTAGAAACTACAACATGCTAGTATTTATCTCCTGCTTGTAGTGCACCACTTAGTCCAGTGCTTTAAGAATAAGGTTGCAAATCCTAGTCCAGACAATAATAGGAGAGTAATGGCTTCCTTAATTCATAAGGTAACATCGAACAAATCTGTCCTTGGGAGACACATGAGAAGGATGCAGGAAAACAGTAAGAACAAGCCTGCTGCTAAGCTCATGTTTGCCCTGTACTCTTCTTCAAAGCAGGGCAATGAAGGGGAAATGGCTGCTTTGTCCCCCTCCCTCACACTGGGGCTGAGAGGCTGCAGTGAACAGGCCAAGTACAACTGTACTACAAGCAGATGGAAGGCACACATGCAGCAAACTGACAGCAGCCTGTCACCCCTAGTGGAGTCAGATTTTGCAGTGTAAGCTATCTCAATATATTTACTACTCCATTACCTTAAAATACTTGAAATTTTATAGAATAAAGTATAGCTTGTCTCTCTTGTCCTTGTACATCACTAGAGCCAGGGCAAGCTCAGTGGCCAGCATCAGCAGCTTACTGCCCTCCTGTGACTGATGCCACTGCAAAGACCCCTCAAGGAGGCCACAGCATAGGCACCCACTGAAGAGCTGTTCTTTAAAAATTCACAGGAGGTTAAACAGCAGTCATTAATTTCTGAGAGTAATTTTAATGTCACAGGATTAACACCATATTGTTTCTGCTTAACTGTCAAGTGTTTGAGATAGTGGTTCTACTTTCTTCAGCATCTCTCCCTTTGTGACGTGGTTTACAGTTCAAAATACACCCTACATCTCATTAAAAAATTCACACTTCTACATTCTGTTCTGTTTCACCACTCTACTCATCTTCCTTTTTCAAGGAAGGGTAAGGATATACCTATGCTTCGCTCTTCAGGAAATGGTGAACCACTTGACTGAAGGAAATGCTTTATAAGCTATTTTATTTAAGTATTTTCTCCAACCTGAAATGGAAAATGACTGTCTTTGCTTGGAAGAAGGTTGTATAAACAATGATCTTTGCAGCACAGCGTGTCTCACATGGAAGATCAGTGATTAAGGCGGCCCTTAGAGTACTCTCAAATATCCATTGGCATGTCCCCTTTGGATTGTTTTTCTCTGCTTTCAACCCAGGCCTTGTTGATGGTGCGCTTCATCTCATCATCCCCTTCTGCATACATCTTTTTTAAAAGGTTCATAAGCCCTTCACTAGGGTCTGAGGTGTCATAGGCAGCCTTCCTGCAAGACAAACACATACGTGAAGATCACTTATACCTAACAATTCTGTGCAAAAAAATTAAACACTAGCATTTGTTTTAAACATCCTGGTAACAGCAAGGATTTTCCTCTGGCAAACTCTTTAGACCCTGACAGTCTCAGTCAGCTTCCAAGTAGAGAGAATCCTAAAGAGTACCCTTAAATAACATGCCAGTTGAGAAGTATACCTAGAGCCATCCCACTAAGGATGACGGGAAGCATTTTGCAGTAAACATGATGCTGGAAGCACCACCTTAATTTTAGGAAGTAGGAGTGGAACGCAACAGACACATAAAAAACAGTATCTGTCTGTGGTGTTATGTGACAAGGGAACAAAAATAGAAGTGTGACCACATTCACAGCCCAAAAGGCATTTTCCACTTCCCATTTTTCAGATTAGCTCCAGAGGTTCATCGTCTCATTTTTAACACATTGCATTTCAAAGGAACTTTCTCAAGCCAGCTAACAGTGCCACCCACGTGGTAAGCACCTGGGTATGACATGCTCCCTATCATAAGCCTATGTTCCCTCTGGCAAACTTGCCTCTCTCTATCCTGTTTTCTGAAATCCTTCAAGTAGTTACTAGTGCAGCTGCAGGCTATCTGAAAAACACACAGATCAAAATAGGTCAGCAGAGGGAGGCGAGCTCCCCAGACCAGTCTTGGAAGCATTTCTGAAGCTACTCATTTACCATGCTGCAAATCCCCAACACTGAATAGGGTGGCAGTACTGATCATGACAGGCTGGGTAGTGTGGAGGACTCCTCTGCACAAGATACAGGTTTAACAAAATAAGCCTGTCCCTCCAACAACCTCCATTAGTATTCAAGTTACCATCTCTTAATCTCCAGTGATGTCCGTCAAGAGGGGAAGGTAGTTCTGCTCTAAATTAATGTACGGTTAGTTAGGACTCATCAGTTTTAGCCAATCATTCTATAAACAGATATAAAATTAATAGACATTGGCAAGCATAACTGTCTTGAAAGTCAAATCTTCCATGCTGCTTCTGATAAGAAAATGTGTGTGGTATTGTAAAAAAACAAACAAACAAAAAACAATACAGAATTGTTACATGATACACTACTTATACACACATACACACATATATATATATATAAACATCTTTTGTCCTCAGGTGTTTCGTGCCATAATTTACCACGCTTATGTATCCAGTGTCTAAGCTGCTTGTAGGACTGCCCCCAAGCATTTGAAGTGATAAAAATTAACTTGAGACTTTGTGTAATGACCTAGGTAAGAAGAAGCCTGTTTTGTCAAAAGTACACTGAGATTTTCTGTGCAAGTGCTTCGCATACAGGTGGCAAAATAGTAATTATTTCAACCACCATAGCTGAAAGTAGTATATCTGCATTTCTGTACCATGTGCACTAAACCTAAAAAAAGTCAACCTCACTAGCGCATTTTTGCAATGAATGCAGCTGTCAAATAAGAGAATTTTTAATTGGTTAACACTCTGCAGCTCCATCTATCTTAGGTACTTCCTGTGATGCAGACTTCACCATTAGCAATTAAACAGTAGAAAAGTGGCAAGCAGCTACTGAAAGTGTATTTCCTGCACTTACAGTCCTACTGATAGCAAAAAAAAATCTCAATGATTCTCAAGCATCTCAGGGGCTTGTCCCCCAAAACAGCAATTTTCACCACCTGACTGCACAGTCACTATAGCACAGATCTGCTCTCCTGGCAGTCCCAAAACAAGCCAGAGAACAAGAGATGGAAAACAAGATGGAGGGTTGAAATGACACTTACTCTTTCTCTTTGCTTTCTTTTTCCACTTGAGTGAGACATTCCCATTTTTCGTCCCGCTTCTTCCTACACATCACAAGGACCATGTCTGTCTTTATCTGCATGGTGAAGAGCAAGACATGAATTCAGAATGCTAGTCGCAACCACAATGAATAAAGTTAGTTTAGAGCATAAACCTATCTTCGTAGAGTTCTGAAGCATTTACCTCAGCTATTGATTATTACGTAGCACATAGGAAATTATAGCATGCACTGAGCTTCAAGGTGCAAAGTATTAACCTCACTGTAGACAATTTAAATGGCATGATTAATATACTACTATTACAGAACTATAGTACCAATACAGAAGAACATTACAGTGCTGCAGAAACACCATTTAGTGATTCTCAGGATGCTAAAAGTACCCAGGACTGCCAGGTAAAGGATAGCTACATTTACTAGACTTCTCTAAGAATACCAAGTCCAGGTAGGGACTCCTCCAATTTATTTCTCCAGGGATAAGAAATTAAGTTTTAGGGCATTGCTTAATCTTGCAGTATTTTTGCCAGTTACAGCAAAGCCTGTTTAACTGCAACCCTAACCTAAATTTCACAAAGAACTCCTGCATGCCACAGCAGACAAGAATCTGCCAGACCTTTAGTTTAGTTTAGCAAGTACATGATTACTGCTCAATTCTATGCCAAAAAAAAAATAAATACCAGTGTCACTCATTTATTTCAGTTGTTTCAATTTCACACTGTCCTAGTTTTAGGGCAATTTCCAACTGAACCATAATTTCTTCACACACAACTGATGTCTCTAACTGCAGCACACAACTATGCAGAATGCAGACAAAGTATCTGACACATTCCTAAGCCTGGAAAGATGCTACAAGTTTCAGAGTATGGACAGTGCCCCAGGTTGCAGCAATCAGCAGTGAAATGTTGCCAGTGTTCAATTCCAGAAAAACACACCCATACAAAGGCAGAGAGGTTTCAGACTTCTGTTTTAGGTGTTAAGCCTATTTAAGCTTCCCAAGATTTGGGTCTCCTGAAAAGTCTCTTAGACCTTAAAATTGCAAAGAATTCATCTGAGGTATTTAAAAGCAGAAGGATGTAAATGGGTATTTAGTGGAATTTTCTGCTTAATTATTTCTGAAATCCTGTCAGGTATTTAAAAAGGCGTACAATAGCTAGACATGATCTATGGAAATAGGAGGCCATGGATTCCAGAGGATAATTCCACAGTTATGACAATTAGAATTCAAGAAGAATCACATTCACAGGGAAGAAATTTTACAGAGAGAGGGACTGAAGGTTAGCACTGAGTCTCTTGAACTAGTCAGGCAATGAATATGGTACTTTGTGAAGGACCCAGGTATTAACAGGTGATGTGCACTGACCTTTCTAGAGCTGCCTTCCACAGAGATGGGTTTCAGGAGGTTGTTGAAGGTCATGGTGTAGTTCTTCCCATTCAGATTCTTCACTAGCAGATCAAACGACCTGGGACCAGAAAGCAGAGGTCACAAATATTGCAGTCACTGCAAAACTACTGAGCCTTGCCACCAAAAATGTCAAAAAATACGTCAGGCATATTCCTTGAGAAAGCATGTCAACAGACTTGAATTACTTTCTTCCCAGGGCTTTCAAATCTTCAGTTGGATTTAATACTGTGGATTTAAAATGACCTATCCAGACTTGCCGACAAACTGAGACCTTCAGGGGGTTCATTCTACCTCACTGAACTCCTACAACCTTGTAAAGGCAGATTCACTTCATGTACACTTCCATTCTATTACCATCAAAAAACAGGGCTAACATTGCATATCCTTGCAAGCGTGATGAGGTGCAACAAGCATCTGTACAATGAAAATATCAGGAAAGCTACGCTTATGTAGTTCTAAGTGGCAATAAAAGCAAATACCCCTCAGGGTTTAAAAGAAAAAAAAAAAAAGAAAAAAGGAGGTGGGGAGTAAGGGCTGATTCAGAACAGCACTCAACGCATCCCTGCATTTCAAATGATGTTCTTCACCCATGCTCTCCTGTGCTGTGTGGTGCAACAAGGTGAACTCACCTCTCTGTGAAATTCACCTGCACATTCTCAGCTGGAAGCTTCTGGACTCCATTTAAAGAGATGTAAATCTTAATAAACTTATCTGACTGATCCCAACCTGCAAGTGGAAAAAATAGATTAAATTCTACCTTTCCTCCATTACCTTTGTGCATTTCATTCTAGCTCCCTCTGTAAAGTTCCCTAGCAATTTGCAGGATCTCTGCCTTACCAAAATAAACTTCAGTGAGATAAGGGAAAGACATAAATTATTTGGGAATAATGTAAGAGTAAAAGGAGGTCCTCACACATAGTCCTATTCCCTAATTCCTACAAATTCTGAGCAAAACACACTTACCAGCTCAGACAGAGAGGAACCCTGTCTGCTTCTGCTGCAGCTTCCTTGACCCACTTTTTCCCCTACTCCCTGCAGGACAAGTATCTTGAGCAATTACCTCTCCTTTCACTTATATGGCAAGCAGAAAAGCTAAAGCTCACTCATTCCTGCTAAGCACTGGGCAGCAAATAACACTAGTAGGTACATGCCAGGGATCATTAATGCATCCCACCCCTACTATCACACAAACAGAACTAATACACACTGTGGTTGGGACGGCATACCAGGCATGCAGTAGCATTTTAAGTGGGGTTTTCAATATGAAATAATTACTTAAGAAGCCTTCTTTATAATGCTAAGTGGCAACTGTAAGTCACACTAATGCTGACATGCCTTCTCTTCAGAGATGGTGGAGCTCCAGTAAAGTGTTCAGAAAAACAAGCCTACCATAATTGTTTATTTTCACCGTGTACCCTCCCAGTGACACCTTGTCTTCCTCCACTGCATCTTTTGGCTTCGGTGGCGGCTGATTCTTGATTTCTAGCTCTAGCTTGTGCTTCTCTGTCACCAGGACATCACGAACTCGCTTCCTCGTGGCCTTTGTAAGCAATTCTTTTACTTCTTCCAAATCCTTCAGTAACTGGTGTAAAAAATAAAGGATCACACGTGCATATTAGATACAGATATCTGTACTCTCGGTTCACGGCTGAGCTCTTTCAGTGATGACTTTCAGATTTCCCAGATGCAGCCGTTTCAGTTGTTTCATTTCCTGCTAACCATGAAGCCACCGATTCCTCACTCCCGCTCGCGTTCTACTTTCTCAGCCATTACACATTTCATGGTTTAAGCTTCCACCCATTATAAACCCAACAGAAACCCACAGAAGGCTCTGGTTTATGCTCGAAGTGCCCAGCACCATGTTGGGGTGAACACCTGCAGCGCCCAGCAGACACCCAACCCGAGAGCTCCCTCCCGCCCGCCCCCCACAGCACCGCTCTGCCGCCCCTCGCCTCGCCTCGCCTCGCCCGCCCCGGTTCCTGTCAGAGCCCGCGGGACACGGTGGGGGGTGCTCACCTCCTCGCGCGCTGCAGCCATGTCGCGTGCGGCGGCCCCCCCGCGGCACCAGCGGCAGCTCCCACGGCCCCTCTGGAACCTTCCGGCCTCACGCCCCTCCCACTCACCGCGAGAGCCCCGAGCGCGCCGCGGAAGTGACGCAAGGCCGCCGCCGCCACCACCACTACAGGCGCTCCGTGAGCCGGAACAGTTCCTCTCCCTCCCTCCCCTCCGCGCCGGCAGCCATGGCCGAGGGGTGGGACCTCGGGCCTTCCCGCCTCCCCCAACCCCGGTGCCGCTCGTGCCACCCGTAGGGAGCGCCCCTGGCGGTGGCCGCGGTGCGCCCCGGGCCGGGAGGCGGTCCCTGAGGGGCTCCGCTCGGAAGGGTCAGTCCCCGCCCGTCGCGGCTGAGGCGGGCGGCGGAGCGGGAGGGCTGGGCTGCTGAGCGACCGCAATCGTAACTGCTTTAGGGGAGATTTGGAATGATCTTCCTGAGCACCGCAACCTCGGTTGCAGTTGGTCAGGGTAAAAATACAGCGAGGTCTTCTCATCATTGTTACCTTAGCATCCTGAACAACAGAAAAAACAGAGTTTCTGCATCCCCAGGTTCCAGTCGGACCTTGAAATTTCACGAAGGAGGAAAAAAAAAACCCCAAAACTAAAAAAAAAACAAAACAACAAACAAACAAAAAACAAACAAAAAACCAAACAGCGTCAGTCTTTCAGTAAGCAGGGAAGTGGGGGTGTCAGCATTTGTCTCCAGATGTCTTTTATACGTAATGGAACCCAAGGCAGGATATAGCCCTTCAGCGTTTAAAAAGTAGATTTCTCTGAAAGTGCCAGTTGTAACATCTTTTACCCAACTGAGGAATTACACATAATTTGCTGATTTATGGCCTTAGATTGTTACCTTCTCTGAAGTGAATATCCAAGAATTAATTTTAAAGATTACTAGCAAACCTGAAGCCAAGGGTTTACGTTCAAATCTGCATTCCACAAATCGGTTTTAACAGATGTTGTCCTGAAGGGTTTATTATAACCCTCTGGTCCAGTGCTTCATGATCTGCAGTTTAGAAATGACCAGGAAAGATCTGCATAACTAAGTCTGTGGTTGGTTGTAATTTCCACAGGACTTCAGCTTGTCCAGCATTTGAAGATGGGCCAGTTGATTCTATATGGAAAATACAGTATGGTCAAGTGGAATTTACTTCTGTGGTGTGGTTACTTTATTGGTTAAAGGCAGTTGCTTATTCAGGAATTGTTTCCTTGTGATCTTTGTTGAGCAGTCACCAAGACAAGAAAAAACTTTATGTGGGTTTTTTCTAGATACTAATTTTGTAGTTTCTCCACTCTTAGTTGTGGCCTTATTAAGTGCTCATAGGTTTAGAATTTAAACTGGTATTGCTTTATAATTTAATTTCTTTTTAGAGGAGAAAATGCTTTTGCTAATACATAAATGCATTGGTAAGACAGCCTGTAATTTGATTCTTTCTTGATATTTTCTTAAAACCAGTGCTTATGTTGTTTCCTTAGGAGCATTTCCATGCCTGTGGCACTTCCACTTGAGTGGCAGCTTCCACACAGAAGAGTTGTCTGTTGTATTGTAAAAACAGGTTCCACACAGCTCCCTTTGCATAAAGCTGTAGTAGCATCTGCATCCTCCCTCCCCTGGCTGGAAACAGAAGACAGCCTGACAAAGCCAGGTTGTCATCTTGTGTGCACCTGTACAAAGAGCACAGTGGCAGGCCTTCTCTTGGAGAAGAATCAGAAAAGATCCTGCATCCGGAGGGGGAAAGGAGGAAAAGGAGCTAGGTTAGAGTAAGCAGGAGTACTGAAACTCAGGTGAAAGACCCTGGTCTGGTCTCTCTGGCAAAGAAAGTACAGTGCAGAGTGGTCTTCAGTGCTCTTCAGCTTGGGGAAGGGGTGGGGATGGAAACATCTGAGAGGGTGTTGAAAGGCCTGTGGCCTTTTGTCTAGCAAGTAGTAGCCTTCTGCTTCTGTCTGCAGGAATTGATATCAGCTGATGAAAACAGGCCTTGGATAGTGATGTGGAGGTAAAACAACACCAATCTGGTAAATTTATCTTCAGCTTTTCTCTCTCTTTGCCTTTGTATCTTCCCCTGAAGTGCTGTGTGCCTTTCCAGTTCCAGGGAATAATGCTGTTGATCTTAATTAATAAAAAAGAAACCCTGCAGCAATTGCTCACATGGAAAATGGTTTTATAAAGCATTTGAATACTTTTGATGGCTGTAAATTCTGGTCTGCCCTGTTCCTGTTCAGCCGTGTTTCTCTGTTAGAAGTCAGTTTTCAATTTCTTGCTGTGTCCTTGTGCTCCCTATGACCCTTCTGATAAGCATGCTGCCTCATGGCTCACTTTCATATTTCACTTGTGTACTCCTGGGAATCATGACGTCCTTAACAATGGCTCCTGCTGCCCCATGGTTATTTATCAGTGACCTTCAAAAAAAGCTTATTTACCAACACATTCTCTGGGCTGGCAACTTCAGGCTAGCGTTTGGAGTGGAGGGCCAGGGTGACCCGTTAGCTCTCTGGCATGGCGCCTGTCAGACTTGAACAGGAGACCCCTTGGGTCATTGTCCTAATGAACGAGTTAGAATTGGCTGTTTAGCACAAACACATTTTGGACAGCTAGTCTGCCAAGCCTATTAGGGCTGCTTAGAAATGACCCCCTTGAGTGACGTCTATAAAAAAAACCTAGCACAGCAGCAGTTTCTTACTGCAAACAGATTGAAGCATCTTATTCCCATTTTGTATGCATTTCCATTTATTTTACAAGGCATTGTTCACACAATGATAACAAGGTACCAATCCAAACAATTCTGTAACAATTAAAAAAGTAAACATTTGTTGTGACCATGTACATTGAATTGCACTTTTAATACCAAGCATTACACTTACATTTCCATTATTATACTTTATATAATACGTGGATCTGTTGCACAAGTACTGGCAGTATGGAGTTATTCTCAGTTAAAAGTATGATATCGCTGTCACACTCTTCTTTCCTAACTCTTTAGGATTTGCAACCCTGGGACACACACAGATGACAAATGAAGCTCTAGATCTAGAAAACTTCATTGTAATGGAGCCAGAGCTTTGAAGCTGCTCTCCGGTTTCAATGTGCTAAAGTGAATCCATCTTGAATGGCAGGCACTGAAGGATTTGGACCATGCCTGATTAGACTTTTCTGCATTCACATGTCAGCTTTTCCCAGTACAGAGAAGCCAGAAAATCTTCCATGGGAAAGAATTAGTTCCCAAAGCTCAAGAGAACTCCTGGCACAGGTTGGTATGGGCAGCAGTGCAAACCTAGGGATTACTGGAAGGGGGGAACTGGGATCTGAGAATGTCTACTCTCATTTGCATTGGTAGTACCATCCATGTATTATATAAAATACAAAAATAAGAGAAACTGGAAGGAAATTAGTACAGCCCAGGATTCTGGTGGTATCAAATCATAAATGACATTTATGACACCAAATCCTTTTGATGTATTTATCCCCTTGTGATTCAGTTTCCTATATATTATTCTATATATAAGATATAGTTTTCCAAAGATACATATAGATTCCTTTACAGGTTAAATAAAAGCAAGTCCCACTGAATCAGAAAATAAGAGGAAATAATGTCCTAATTCTCTACCCATATCTTTTTGTATTTTCAGGTAAAAATAGCATGAAATACATTCAGTAGCAAAGCAGTTGGAATCCAGGAAAAGTGGAGAGCCCTGTATTCCTGGAGGATTAACCTGTACATGTTAAGACATGATACTGAAATAAGTAATGTAGGCTTCTGACTTGGGTAAGGTGGGATCTTGATTAATGCTGAGTATTATTCATCCTGCTGCAAATTCTTTGAATTTCTAAACCCCGTCTATGGATCAGCTCTGTTTTAAAGGCTGCTGTGATGTACACCCCACCGAACTTGAAAGGTCCAAACTTGAGTGCTTCGTTGTGTCTCCCCTCAGTATTATTACTCAGAAAGAGGTAATAGGACAGCTCCCAGTAAGATATTTGCATAATAGACAGGAAAATAATATAGTGCAAGCCTTTGTGCTTGCAAGAACAATGTGATGACTGGCGCTGTGTTAACTCACAGCAGTGCCGTGGGTGTACACAGCATTACCTGTCTAGTGCAGCCAGCTGTTTGCACAGCAGCCCATTCTGCAGGGTTCAGCTGTAATAGGTGTGCTTGTCACTCAGAACAGTCCCCAGTCTTGAGGGAAACATCTCTGCCCTGATCTTCACATTCAAACAATAACATGTACTAAGGTTTTCTCTCTAGCAGTTGGAAGAAAACTAGCATTGTAACGTCAGAAGCATGTCTGTTTTCAGTCCCAAAGGTATTTAGGCTTATCAGATCATGTAGAAGTATGCCAATTTATCCCTGAATCTAACAGTAAATCAAAATAAGAGGTATAGTTTTCCCACACGTATAAGTAGTTCCATGGATTTCAGTGCAACTACTTAACAAAACGTAGGGAACAGCCCTACCTTTATCCTGTGGAGAAAGCATGACTTACGTAGCTTCCAAGTTTTGATACTTCAGTGACAGTAAATTCAGATTTTTATGTACTCAAGGTCAATGGCATCGTGACTCTGAAGTCAATGGGATACTTCATGCTCTGCTGAGGGGCTGAATTCCTGTTCTTGACTTTCTATCTCCTCTTGTAAATGGCTGGTTTTATTTTGTTTTTAACACAATGGTACAGGTAAAAACATCTATCCTAAATTTTAAAAGCCAACTAAGAGAAGTCCTTTAAAATGTCCAACAAAGAAGAAAAACATTGCGTACCTATGTAAGCAATGTAACTTAGCTGTAGCAAATTATATACTAATTAATGGGCAAGACAAGGATGAGTTTGTCAGTTGGCAGTACTGATTACACAGCTGTCTCCCTTTCCCAAGACTGGTTTTACTGAACTTTAATGCATACGGACCTCGGAGATTTTGCAGTTTCTTGGATTAACAGCACATATGATATTTTCTATTTTATTGTTACTTTCTCTGGGGTACATGTAGAATTTTTAAGTGAAATATGTCCTATTACTTTAGAATATTGTTTTATTCACAAAGATAATACAAAACTAGTTCACAGAGGTACCATGTAACTAAATCAGCCTTGCTTCATTTATCCTGTAAAGTGTTCCAGTCAAGGTAAAAACAACTGCTTTTTAAAATGAAAAAAGTACTCTTCCCTCTCCCCCCACGTTGGGCATATTAGGAACAGATTAGAATCCAACAAGATAAAACAGTTGTACTAAAAAATTCTTTGGAGGTTTAACCCTAATCAAAGACAAGACTTTATTCAGAACTGTGCATTCTCAATAACATAAAAACCAAGATTTAGTTCCACACAGATATTTATAAAATTCAAATTAATTTTAATGTAAGTTTGATGTGGATACATAGTTTAATAATGACTTAGGAAAAGAAATATTAATCACTGCAGACTTACAAGCCATGTTAGCTGTTCCAGTGCCACACAAAAAAAAAACAGTTTCAGTGAGACTTTGATGATGTTTTCTGCTGAAAATCTGAACAACGAGCCAGCTGTCCCTGACTGATCAGCTGGTCTGGCAAACATGTGCACATAACTCTGTCACACGCTGCTGAAAAGGGCTAATTAAACCCGAGATTTGTTTTTCTCACAGGAAGCTAAGTTTCCCATTAGCATATATAGTTGGCAGGCAGAATTTTAACTTGCCTGGTTTAACCCTGCAGTCTTGTTCCTTTCCTTGTTTCTGAATATAGCTGCTTATTCATCAAGATAATGCCATAGAGCTATTTTGTTATTCTTTCAGTAGTTTTGAGAAGACACATTTTCCATGTAAATACTACTCTTCCAAACACCATTGCTACAAACACTACCTTGGGACTATAGATGGAAGGTGAAAGTATTTTTTTGCCTTTATGTCACTGCCAAGAGTGATAACGCAGCTGTTGCCTTCAGAAACTTTTTTTGCTGATGTAAGCCAGCTTCCATTCTACAAGGTTTTGAAATCCTGGCTAGCAGGTAGCAAACATATTTTTGTCACAGAAACTCAACTTCCAAAGTCAGAGAGTAGCTACAAAGAGAAAGATGATGTTGTGTCAAAGCGAGTTCCATGGGACATGGTGAGCTTATTTAACAGGTTTTTTTTTTGCTGAACTGGGGAAGTCCCACTCCCACAATCCACTTGCAGTCATTGCACCCTTTGAGATTATTTAACTCATTAATGTGTCAAAAGACTAACCAAAATGGGAAAAATCCACCCCGCATTTTTTTTGTTTGGTTGGTTTTAATCGTCTCTAGTTAAGTGCCATAACAAGGACAAGGGACATGAGTGTACAACAGGGAGTTGGAGGGGTGAGTTCTTTGAGCAGAAGTGAGCTGTTACGTTAAGTCATCTGCTCAGGGAATCACAGTCTTATCCATTTATTGTTTTATTATTACTGCAGTTTTCCAATCAAGGTTTTAAATTCACTTCTAAGAATGATTTAAAAGAAATGAAATGAGAAATTCGGACACCTATCAAACCATCAGTGTCACTCATCAGCACAGTACTCTCAAATGTAACAATGAGATGTTCACCAGGTACTCTTAAATGTCACTTCAAATTTATTATGCAGTTCATTTTGAGTGTGAAGTGGAACTGGTAAATGAATGACTAATGCTAGGCTTAGACAGTTAAGAGAACAGAAACATTTATGCAAATATCATTAGCAAGAAAGTGACCAGGGAAAAAGATCTTTGTTCATATTTGCAAAGAAATTCCTTTTGCGTTTTCACCCCTTTTTTCTCACTACATTAATGTTTCCAGATAATCACTATTCTTGCAGGTACATTTTCAAATATTAACTTTTTTAGGCCCTTACCTTTCAAAGAGAAAATTTCATTGCAGGATTTTGTCAAGATAGTGATTATATTTTGATCTCTACTTCAAACAGCTGACTGCCTTTCAGAGTCATTCCTTTGGCACAGGTAATATTTATACTACCCTGTTTAAAATAATTCAGAATTATGCTTGACAACAAAGCACAAGATGGGTATCATTAAATTTTATTGTACAAAACTGACAAGATATGGCATTACTTAGAATTAAAAAAAGAAAAAAACAGAACTAATGTCCCTGGAATAATTTTGTAAATGGAACAATTAATACACAATCTTTAGTCCAGCAGTGATATTTACCTGCAAGACCTTCTTTAGACATGACAGATATAATTAAAAAAATACTCCATCAGCTCAAGCAATAGTTTAATTTTACATGAAATAAGTATTTCTATAAACACTTTATGTTCAGTCAAAACAAATGCGTTTGGATTTTCTTACCTTAAGAGATAAAAAACAACCAGGTAAGTTTGGGAATCATCAGAGAAGTCTGCCCCATGGGAAAGTCTAGGTTTTGTATTCCACTTGAAAATGTTTGTGTTTATAAAAATAAGTAATACCAACATAGCATTTCCTAAGTAGCAAACAGATCTTGACATCAGTGCAGCATAAACATTTTGGGGTGTGTTTTCTTTGAGACCTCATTCCTGTGTCTAATTCAGAATTTGAATATAGACCCAGGGAAAGGTTTTCATTACTGTTACTCATAAAACCTACCCCTTATTTCACAGGATATACAAAAGGTCTAACCTATGCAAGGTCTTCACTCTGCTTCAGGGCAAAAAGTCAAACACTGAACAATTTTCCCTTTATCCCACTGGAAAGAATTATTTCCTGCAAACTGTAGTATAAACTAGAAATAAAAAGGGAACTAGATAACTTTATGTTAAATTCCAGTTCAGTTGTCAATAGCCTTCACACAACAGTGCTACAAGGAACTGCACTACTTGCACTTCTGAAGAAAAAATGAATCAGAACTAAGAACTTATCAGGGAAGCTCATAAACAGTTGTGCCAAGAGAGCACAAGACTATCTTTGCTATGGCCTAAGCTTTACAAAAAGTGCTTCTCTGCAGGACACAGTCACTGCGATAAACTTCTGAGATGGTCCCAGGGCGTAAGCTATCCTAAGACACCCGCGCACACACACTGGTGCTTATTACACTGTGCTTTCTATGAAGAGATTATGCTTCAGTACTTTACATTTTCCCGTCTCGCTCTTCCTCCAGAAGAAAAAACCTTCTATGCAAAATAAAAATAATTTTGAATAATTAGTTGTGTATTAAAGACCTAGTTTTGAAGTATTTATTTAACACCTAGTCATATAAAATAAAGTGTAAAAGTATGAAGGTATCATCAGAACGTGGCTTTCAGCAAGGCAGTTTGGGAAGTAAGAATTCAACATAAACCAGGAATTATTTTTTCCCCCTTTGAAAAGGGTCACATCAGAATGAATGAAAAACACCGAAGAATTTCACTTCAAGCCTGCACTCCTGCCTTTTGTCCTTTCTCCAAGAGGAGAGACCACTGGAAGAATCCTCCAGGGTTCAGTTGTGTTGTTCTTTGTGCTCTTGTTTGGGGTCTGTCGGGAACTATGTACTGCTCTCTTTCGGTGGCAGGGACGGCTGAGACTGCTGCGGTGGCTGTGTGCCTGTTGCCGTTTTGATAGAGTTCAGGGTTTTGCTAAACCAAGAGTTTTTGGCAGCTTGGATTTCATTCATAAGGGCTCCTCTCTGGTGCTCCAGCTCCTACAAAAGCAGAATAGTCAGAACTGATCAAAACCCAGGTAATTAACAACAAAGCATCTTTAAACTCAGTCCCTGCAATCCAGCACTTCCTTGCAACCTCCCAGGCACTGGGGAGAGAAGGCAGATTGAAACTGCAGAAACAGCAGAAGATATTTAGATATAAAAATCTCATTTCAAGACAGAAAGTCGTTCCTGAAGTTCACAGATACACTGCAGGATGGGTATATGCTCCCTTCTGGAACAATTTTTTGCATGATTCAGAATTATTTTATACTGAGCATAACAAGGTTGAGGACACAGCCTTGGATTTCACATACCTGAATTTTGCACTTAGCTTCCACAAGTTGCAGTTTGGTCTGTGCAAGTTCCAGTTCCATCTCCCTCAGCTGCTTCTTCAGTGCATCCTTTTCATCGTCCATTTCTATGCCCTTATTCTCCATGCTTACAATAGGCAGCTTCAGTGCTCCTTCCTTACTGAAAATCTCACTGCAGTGTTTGCAGGCCATCACTTTACCCTGAAATACCCAGAAAGCTCATCTTTAATCCATATTTTAGGAGTTGCTGTGCTTCCTGGAAGAGCCATTTTTATGTTAGACTGCCTTTGTGTCAGTAATCTTGAACTATGTAGTATTGCAGTTTTCATACATGACATGGAAAGAATATGAGAAGTTCATGAACAATTTCCAGGGCATATTAACAGTATAAAATTTCTTGAAATCTACTTAGCGTGCTCTGCCTAAGCACAGAGACTTTGCCTCCTAGATTAGAAATACTCAAACCCTCTTGCTACCAAAGCTTTGTAATATTTTGCAGTATTTATGCCAGCAGAATTCAGAAGAGGAAATCACACTCCAGAAACTTTTCATCTTCCATAGAAGTACTCGACCAAATTAATACAAATTGTGATACTTTAAAGAAAGCCAGGTAGCTTTTCTACATTTCCAGAAGTAAGCAAGCTGCTGTGCTCATGGCATGGGCCAGTACTGTCCTGCAGGTGCTTGTTCAGCATCTTAGGGGTGCCCCTTTCTGCCAGTGACACCTGATACACAACAGTAATGTTCTCGTGCTACCTGGAGAGGTGAACCAGTTACTCATAGCTAAAGATGTAGCACAGCTGGCCTGGCTCGCACAAACTGAAACAGGGTATTGAGCTACTTCAGCAGATTATAGGAACATCAATCCTGGAATTACTTTTTTTACCAGTAACATGAAGAGGTCACTAAAAAGGCCCAAACCAGGTTCAACTTGAGTACCAAAGAAACAACTAGAAGCTATACCAGAGGGAAAACAATTCTGTCTACTCCATAGTGAAAAAGCAGAGGGATACATGATCAGGAAACATTTATCTCTAGTGCAGATGTTCCTAGGCTTTAGAGAAGGGTGAGGAACTGCTAGGGCAATTCTGGGAATGGCTCAAGCTATGCCAAGTTACTTAAACAACTTTGCTTAAATTACAGAAACCCAAATTGTCCAGTTCAGCCAATTCTGATCCCTCCACTGGGGACACAGGAGAAGCAGCATGTTTTCTCTTCTAGAGAACCTTTTATTATTATTATTTAAAACATCCAAGTAAATACTGTCTCTCTGCATTTTTTGCCAGAAGTGTATATTTCAACAGGAAAAAGAAAAGCCAAGTACTACGTGCAGTTCAGTTTGAGAGTTCTGCCCTCCTGATATAAGATGAAGAACCGTGAAAGGAAGTTAACCTTTTTATTGTTTGCATCTGATCTAAAATGCCTGTGGGTTATCAGTGCAGGTAGGTGGACAGTGCTGTTTGTTGTAACATTAAACTTCAGGTAGTGTCTTCTTCTGTGTCACTGGTATTTAGCAGTACTTGTGTTAGAAAAATCTCATATGTAGAGGCATCATTCTCACCTTCACAACTTCCAGTTCATCTTTACTGGCCGCTTGTTGTTTTTCCAGCCTTGTACTCAGCTGGGAACAAATCTGGAGCAGAGAAAGCAGTCTCTTAGCTTATGTCTACTGTACTAAAATGCAACCCATGTTTTTTCATTTTTGTTAGAGGCAACATTTCTTAAATGTTGCCTCACTCAGAGGCTGTTGCTAATAATGAGACTGAAAAAAAAATGACAGTATTCAATGCAGAACCTGAACACAGAGACAAACTTTATAGATGAATTAGTTTATAATGTTTATACTGCATTATGTCACAGAGTAAAGAAGCATTCACCCTGTAGTACTAAAATTAGCTGAAAGGCAGGTTCTGCCTGATTCCCTAAATTATGAGACTATTAGGAAAACCACAAAAAGACTTATGACAGATTACAGCACTTACTCTCTGAAAGCGTGAAAGGTAGCGTAACTTACATAAAGGTTGAGATCTGCTACTCTGAAAATTCAGCTTTCACATCAGGTTGAAAGAAGAAATAGGAAAAAGTGTCTCTAGAACGGTACCTGTTTATACTCTGCAATAATGGCTGTGGTTTTCTTGATCTCAGATTCTGCCTTCTCTAGCTGCTTCCTGAAGACCTCCTTCAGCTAGGAATTGAAGGAGAGAAGTTACACAGTACACTGAAAGAAGTTTTCAAAATGTCATCAGATCATTCTCTCAAAGTCTGGCTGTGTCTACAGCAATTCTAGAGCTGCTCCTTACCAAATTCCAGTTCTTCTTGCAACTTCCACTTGTTACAAGTGTCTGATTTACTCAGTACACAAATAAGTATTATATTCAGTTACAACTAGAAAGACTATACTGTGATACAGTATATCCTGACTTCTCCTGTAGGGTTATTCTTCCTCTGCATTAAATGGTGGTACAGCATGATCCACAGAACACAAAGCAGGAGCGTTACTATTAAGTGGGTTTTACTGATTTTGTTTTTGTTTTCTGCACACTGTTAGAGCAAGTGTAGGCAGACAGATTGTTTGTTTGTTTGGAGATGGAATAGGAAGAAGAATCTCTCAGCATTACCACTCTGATCTCCATAACGAGAGAAAAAGATCTGGCTTGGTCTGTGCACTGCATTAAAATACAGTTAACTCATTCCTCCACTGTTCAGAACCACTAAATCTTGAGAGGTCTTTCAGTAGGAAAAGGCTTCCACTGCCTTATTATAGCAGAGAACTTCCCAACATCCATTTAAGGAGACAAAAAAATACCATTTGATTGTTGTAGTCACTGTTGTCAAACAGCAAAAACAAAAATCAGGGTATCACTTTTGACATATACTTTTGTGTGTCAGTATTCAGCACTGTGGTAGATACATAGAATTGAAAAACTAAGACTGAACATGTAAAAAAATATGAGGCCAGGTCTAGTCCACAAAATTCTCCCAACCCTCAGCTTTGTTTTGCTGTTGGTTCTAGCTTCGGACAAAAATATCCACAGCTTATTTCAGTGAACCAGCAGCTGAATCCAGAATAGCCTCTTATTAAGGCAACAACTCCTCCAGCTTCTTTTTTAGATCATTAAAAGTGGCCTGATCATGTCTTATTAGTTGTGATTGCTTACCACCAGTGAAAAGTATTATAATACTGGGAAGAGGATGAGGTTTGTAAAACTGAACATTCTGAGCTCAATTAAAGAAAATACTCAAAACCAAACTTAAAAAAACCTAATTACCCTAGCACTGTAATTTCTTAGTTGTGACTGCATTTTGAAGACAAAATCCTTTCTACTATTACAACACATTCATGCTTTTCTCCATATCCTTTGCTTGCATTTCCTTGCTAAATTAGAAAAGTTGGAGAATGCATTACCTGAGCAGTTTCCTCTTCCTGCTTCCGTTTCTCCTCCTCAGTCTCCACTAGCTTCTGTTTGGTCAGGAGAAGTTCCTTGTTCAAAACATCTGCTTTGTCTTCAGCCTAGAATTAGAAAAGCTGGTGTAAATCAGACATTATCTGTGCCAATACAAATGTATTGATTCAGATTCTAGCATTGCCTTTTCCTGACCTCTGATGACTCACCTAGCCTATTTTTTATATGAAATTCCTTTTTCAAATAGCCATCTTCTAAGTTATTTCACTGTGTTTCAACAACTGGCGAAAGGGCCCTTTCTCCACATGCTTACCTAAGCCCATATGGCAAGTAACCAGAGATACTATGTTTTAATACAACCCTAATACAAATCATGATGTATAGAATATTTTTATTGGGAACAATATTAATCTAAGTGACAGCAGCATGATTTAGCTCCTGTGTAACTTCAGATAACTCATTCAATTTTCATATCTCTAAGATACTGTGGAAAACGTTAGTTGCCTGTACTGTACCTTACAAAGCATCTGGGTGGAGACAAGTATAAAAGAGACCCACAGGACCACCAGATAAAATGGGTTATCAGGGCAAGTAAGTATTACCTGCAGAAACTTGATATTGTCTACTACAGAATATGAATTTTCTTTCTTTGAGTGGCCAAGCTCATGGTGGAAGATACTGGGAATGCTTTGGTTTTGTAAGCACTATCCTCACCAATCACAACGAGAGAAATGTATTTCTCAGTACCTGTTTATATTCAGTTGACCTCCCCAGCTAGGAGATACACACTGCATTGCACCACCCCTGCTGTTCAGTAACTAGGTGCTACAATAGGCAATGGCTGTGCTCGAATAGTACTTAGTTTGCTGAAAATACAAGTGGGAAAATGGCATTGGAAACAACAAGTAACAGTGCAGAACCTGTCTCTGAGTTGCAGTTTGGTTTTCTACCACTGGTGGTGATATTATCTATTGGCTACAGTGTTAATTATTAATGAGGGTGTTTGTTAGTGGTGACTGTGGGTAGCAGAAGCAGCTGCACCTGGGCCCTGAGTGAAGAGGTCAATTGAGGATTCCTGCATTAGTCAGTGTGTATATAGCTGTGTGGGAGAAAGGAAAACAAGCAGTGAAAGAACAGCAAAGTGTTAAGATTGGCATCTTAGAACAAAAGAACTTGGAGATTACAAGGATATTTTTGGTGAAAGACCTGTTTAAGATACACTTTGAGGGAACTACAAATCTTTCCTCCCTTTATGTATTAATTCCAAGTTCTCCAAGCACCCGCAACGGTGTACAGTATAACCTGTCCTTGCAGATCAGGAGTGCAGGACCACAAAGCTTTTCTTTCAGTGCCAGGGAACTGAGGCAGGGTGTGGGAAAACTTCACGGAGCCACTCATCTATTGCTAAAATGCAGGAGAGCACGAAATGGAACTGGCAAAGGTATGTGCTTGGCAGTCATAATATTTGAGGGAATAAAAAAGGCATGGGCAGCAGCAGATCTAAAGCTGCTTTATGTACAGCTGTTCCCAGGGAAAATAGAGCACCTCAACACATTGCTTTTGGCCTTTACTCAAGATTGCCCACTCCATCATGCAGAGCACATCTCTGCCTGTGTTCAAGACAGCTCATGTCTTTTGAATCACATGGACCCAAATCAGCATAGCTTCACTATCAAGGATTTGCCTAAACAGAAATACACATTGCACAACTGTGGTTAGTGATGTTGACAGTTCCGAGGCTAGATAAAGAAGCCAAATAATTATGGGAAATCAAACTGAGAGGCCCTTGCAGGAAAAGATTTTACCTTACAAAAGGTACTAGAGCCCTCACTGAGCAAGGGACTAATCATGGGGTATGGTGGAGTATGGCCCTCCTGTACTGAGTATCTTAATAATAGCTGTTACAGCATTTAACAACGCTACATAAAACACTCTAGAAAGAGGAGGGTTGAATTTATAGTTCTCTGACAGTCATCTCTGAGATAAAGGGCTCTGAATGCTGCTGCCCTTGCCATTCCAGTCTTCACAGGAAACAAAAGCAGTTATCAAAGAACACCCAAGAAGCCCTTCCAGTTTTGGTGCCATGCCACTTTCTTGTCTCTGAATTTTGTTGACTGTACTAAAACTGCTGTGAAAAACAGATCCGCATGAAGTGGTAGGCATTCTGCAAGGCAGCTTCCCGTGAAGATGGTCTTTTGAGGACGGTGTGATAGCTTTTACAAGTAAATACTCATTCTTTGGTATCTGAGTAAAAGTTATGGCTTAAATTTTCTAAAACCACACAAAGAAGATGAAGTCAGTGTTGGCAAGACAGCACCGTAAATACCTACAGTTGCACACATATGGAAATTCAGCCTTCTGACTGCAACTGGGAATGAAGTTGTCAGGAAAATACAGGCACAAATAATTATACTTTCAATACTGAATTCACACTTTCGCTTGAGCACAAAGCAGGGATCCTAAAAATGGTGTTGCCAGGCCTGGGCTGGGACCCATCTTTGTTAGCATTACCTGGTCCAGGTCATTCCGTAAGGCAATTTTGCTTGTTACAAGCTCATGGGCAAGGTCATCATTCTCCTGCTCCAGCCGCATGCTTGCTTCTTGGAGCCTGCGGTTTTCCCTCTGCAGAAAGAAAGGAACAACCAGAAAAAAGAAGTTAGTCTTTTATCAGTATTACAGAGCAGCAAGTGAATATATTGTGTGTGTAAAACACTGAGAAGGCAAGAGTGCACAGTAAGACAGGACTGCTGCTCTGGGAAACAACAGTGAATTAAGCCAGCAGTGCAAATGCAGCTATTCCACTTACATCCCAATGGTTGTGTTTGTGTCGCATAAGTGACACACTGACTGGAGGGTTTCTCTGTCAAAAGTAAACAGTCCTCTGCAAAAGCATTTGGTTTCTGCTTGCTCGTTGTCAAAAGAAATTAGGCAGATAAAATCCCACCCAGCAGCAGTGAACAGGGACCAAGTAACAGATACTCATCATCATGTTTCCAACTGAAAGTAAAGCTGTCCTGCTCCTTTATACAAATTTTTGTCTGCAGAAATCCATAAAAATGACACATTTTGTCTATGTTGTAGTGCCAACTTCCAGAGTATTTAGCAGGGAACTCCCTACAGCACATATAATCTGTATCATCAATATTTGTGCACTTTCTCTGCAACATGCGCCAGGATAACAGTGCATGTTTTGCAGGATACCTGCTAAGAACAAATGCCGGATGGAGAAGTGGCCTCACTCCCTGAGCACAGGCCCACAACCTGCTTGGTGGGGAAAACATGGAACACAAAATGAACGACTTCAAGACTGCGGGCCCTGGTTCTTGTTGCTCTGCACTCCTTACCCACTCTGCACAGGCAGAAATGACTACAGAGAGCACAATGAGGGAAGGTAAGTGCACAGGAGAAGAATGAGCAGTAGTGATTCTTGGTTCTAAAAATTGGTTTCAGTTATTGCTCTTCTAGGGCTGAGAAATGGAATCATATTCAAAAGACGTCTGTGTGTTATAGAATGACAGAATCAACTAGGTTGGAAAAGACCTTTAAGATCATCAAGTCCAACCTTTACGCCAGGATTGCCAAGTCCACCACTAAACCATGTCACTAAGGGCCTCATCTGCTCGTGTTCTGAACACTTCCAGGGATGGTGATTCCATCACTTCCCTGGGAAGCCTGTTCCAGTACCTGATAACCCTTTTGGTGAAGAAATTTTTCATAATATCCAACCTAAACCTCCCTGGCACAGCTTGAGGCTGTTACCTCTTGTCCTATCACCTGCTACTCGGGAAAAGAGACCAGCCACCTTTTTGCTCCATTCTCCTTTCAGGTAGTTGTAGGGAGTGATCTTCATCTTTGGAAGAACACAGCCAGGTGGGACAAATAGGGTGCCCTCCTCAAATGGATTTTAAGAGAGCCAAAAATGAGCTGGCCTTCAGTCACACAATTACTCCCTATCTTTCAAACCAAAAGAGACTGTAAAGGCAATCTGTGTGCTATGGAAACTCAAAGAGAAATACCAAGTTCCTATGGAAACTCACGGGTGGAAGAACAATAACCTACATGCTGAGACTACAGAAAGGACCTGTGCTTATATTCTCCAAGACAAAACAGTGAATATATATCACCACTTAAGACAGCAAAAAATTTACAAGAGTTGTTCAGTGAATGCCCTCCTACAAAATGTGATTTCTTTGCATAAGCACATTAATGACCTGTCTTCACTTCCTCCTGCTCATCAGCTACACTCAGATCTTTTTAATTTCCAAACTCACCATCATGAAACTGCAATTTTTGTTTCTGTTACAAGAAGATTTTGCATACTTCTCTTTAACAAAAAGACAACTACAACTCTTAAGAGGATGCTAAAAAAGGTCTCTTCTGTGTGGGAGCTTCCTCTCTGGCAGGAAGCAGAACCTCTACAAATACTCTCTCCTTAATGTGACCCCATTGTGTAACAGACTATGCACTGCCCTGTACAGGAAAGTATGTTTGTTTCCTTTCCAAAAGACCACACTTTAAATAACTTGTTTTGTTACTGAAACAATAAAAAGTAAGTAAAATACTTTTGTTTCAACACAGTTAAAATAACCACTGCTAAAACATGCGTAACTTTGGGGATTTTTTCTTTTATTTTAATCGCACTGTATTCTGTTTGAGATTTTTTTTAGAAGTAAAATTCTTTTGTAAGGATAATATAAACCTCAGAGTGTAAAACCAAACTGCAGTCAATTAAAGGAAAAGGCCCCAATGTGTCTTTATCTCTGCATTTTGGTCAGACCATCTTAGAAATGTTGATTTTATAGACATAGCTCTGCCAGCGAGTAGCTATCAAAAAGTGACTTGAATTCATGTAAAAACTGGGACCAGATCAAGTCAGTATTGCTGCCAGGTGCTGCAGTACCAATACCTTTCATAGTGATGTTGCTCAGAGGGAGAAATCAGGGAATTCTTAATACTTCCACATATTAATCCAGAAAGAAGTTTGCTTTAACATTTTTGCTATGCTTTCGCGAAAAGCTTCAGTGTCCGCAAAGCAAGCCGCACAATGTGAAGTTCAAAGTTCCTGCTTTGCATTCGCAGACAAGTGGGTAAGCAAGCTTACGTGGTTGGAAATGCAATATCCTCCTCTTAAACTAGAATTTACATGGCATATAAGTAAGTTAAAGATCTCTTACCTTGGTCTATCCAGTCAATAGCTAGGAAATGTTTTTATCTCGTTCACCATACTTCTAATTTCCAGCTTAAAGTCTCTTCTAGAGCCACCTTTACTCTTCCTCCACACAGGGCAGTGTGCAAAACTAGGCGGTTTGTCTTTTCCAGCTCCTCCTCCCAAATTTAGCAGTGAACAACTGCCTTCCTCCTCAGGAGGAAACTATTAATCTGCTTAAGCCTAAATGAAACCTAACGTTACACAGTACAAAAATAGAAAATAGAGCTTTTCATATGTAGCATATTTTCAAAGGCCCTGAAATATTTACAGGGTTTTATAAAATACCAGTCACAATGGCATAAAGTTCAACAGATGGAGCTCGTTTGTTACAGCAGGACTCACATCACAGACAGCATTTTGTAACCTGGCATAAGCCAACTAGTCAGACCTGCTAGTTGTCCTTGGTGTAAACAGAGAGCTTCCTGCCATTTCTCTACGCACCACTAACAATTTACTATGACAACAATTTCCTTCTCTTCAGCGTAGCTCAGTTTCTACAGTTAGTAAAATAAGAGATTCCTCTTTCCCAAATTCCTCCTCCTGTCTACAAAAGGCAGATGGTGAACTCTTGATTAGCCTTTAAAAGGAGGGTACTGCATTTCCAAAATGGACAAACACTGCTGATACATACAAACACAAATAAACTTACCTCCTGTAAAGTCACAGACCAAACACTGCTTTCAACCATTGGTGTAAAGACAGTGAAAACAGGATATGAAATAATTTTTAATACCAACAAAGACAGAAAAAAAAAAAAGTTGCTGATTCTTCAGTGGGGTTTTGGTTCTGAGTTTTAAAGAGGGTATAATCCAGCTTCCATCACACGCTGGACGGAAAGAAGGAGGCAAATTTGAAAGCCGAAGCAAGCCTCAGCTCAGGAAGACTGAAATGTTGAACTCCACCCTCTGCTCCCTTCCAGCCAGCACCAAGGAGCAAATCCTGACAAGATTAGTGGTGATGATGCATCCTCTCTGTGCTGCTACTCAAGCAGGGCGTAACGAGTCACAAACCTTGTTAAGCAATTCAGTGTCACATTTGCTGATGAGCAAACACCCAAACCCCAGATCCTGGGCATGAACAGATCCGTAGTGGCAGAATGCAAACACTGATTAAAATTAACTTCTCTGGATGTGAGCAAATTGAAGTCTTCATAACGCATTGGAAAGGGCCCTTGACGGCAGAGTTGCTCTGAAGGAAAACCCTGTGAACCTCCATCTAGAAACCCAAAAGGCTTTTACAGCAAACTATCCGTGAAACCTCTCATGGGAAGCAACACAGAGGCTCCAGGAGGTGGTTTGTGTTTTCTGTTTGTTGACTCTGGAGCAATATTCCCCAAAGTGCCCCAGCACACTTTTTTTTCTTTTTTTTTTTTCTTTTTCAAACCACAAACAACGACTCACACCAAGAGTTATCTTGCATGTTTCCTCATGACAGGTACTGTTCAGTTACCAGGACTCTGAATAAAAGTGTATGAACTTTTGCTTCCACTTCAAATACACAGAAGGCTAAGTATGTCTAAGTTACACATTTATTCAGACAGAAAACTTCTCCGTTGCACAACAAGGTCCACAGAGGAAAAGGCGTTTCTACCCTCAGAACAAAGCTGCTTGCAAAACTCAGGCCCTTCTTTGTATGGTTATATCCTCTTTATTTTAAACCAGGAAGTCCCAAGCCCAACTGTGGTAATTTCTCATCAAGTCAACTAAAACCCTGTTACACAAGGTGTTGTCAAACACCGAAAAAAATCCAACCCTAAAACCATCAGTCTGGACTATGTTTACTGCTTTTTCTGCACATGCAACTCAGTTATATTCCTGGCTTCTATAGGGAATCTGCAATTTACTTGAACCAAAAGTCATGAAATTTGGTGACAAACAGCAATTTGCAACATATTTACTTTCCACCTTTTAAAAATTGACAAAACATGAGTAATAATTTCTTACAAGCAATGGAAAATAAAAGTGCCTATAAAAGCATATACTTTTCCTAAATAATATTTGTTAATACAGGAGGAAACGAACACACACACACAAAAAGGCACTCATTAATACTGTTCTTTGGTAAGTCAAATCAACATGTAAAATATGAGCTGGGCAGGAAGTCCTGTGGCATATAACAGCTCATTGTTGCACATGAATCTGACCTGTCAAGAAAATGCAACTGGTTAATGGCAGGCCAGAAGTTGCAAAACCATCCCTTTTCAGAAGCCTGGTCTGAGTCTGGGGTCAGTGGGTTTGGAGGAGCCTCCTGCCTGGACATACCCAGCTGCCGTCAGGCAGGAAGTGTCTCTTTCCTGGCCTTTCAACAGGAGGCTGCTTGGCTGCACTGTTCCTGTGCACAGGACCACTTCTAGGACCTGAGCACTGGGGAGGAGAGGAAGAAGGGGACTGTGCCCTCATTGCTCTGGTTTGGTCCTGGTCTCCCCTAGATGCCCCGGTGAAAGTCAGACCCTCATGCAAGAGCTGTGTTGGCTCCCGCAAGTTCCCTCCACACTAATGCAGAGAATGGCCCAGCTCCTACTCAACAGTCCATCAAGGCACAGGTCACAGGGATGTGTCTTACTCGGGACACCCTTCATCACAGCTCAGAAATGTTGGTGTCCCTGTGGTCCTGACAAATCTCTATTGGCAATAAAAACTGTAGCGTACTGCAAACAACAAAAACTAACTAAAAACTATCAACATACCAAAACCCTATTTCCTTCTTCGCCTATGAGACTTGATATTCTGCAGGGATCTCCAGCAATCCCATTCCCTGCCTGGGCAGTAAACTAAAACCTCATTTTATTCTGGGAAGAGAAACTGTAAGAATTACAAAGGCCTTTAGGGGACAGCCTACACAGAGAGCGCACAAGGCCAGAGGGAGCTAACAGCAACACTGCACTCAGAGGCAGTACTGGCTTTTCAGCAGTGCAGACTCAGTCCTTTCCCAAACCGAGCCTGGCTGGGCAAAGTCTAGCACTGATGCTGCCAAAATGAAATGCACTTCTAAATCCATAGGCTGCAGAGCAATCATTTAAGGGACAAGCAAAGTTGGCTCCCCACTTTCTGCCTGTGAGGAGCCACACAGCTGCATTTCTTGTTGCCCTTTGCAAACACTCTTGAAATGTGGATTCCTACCAACTTCAGCTTGACACATTAATAAAATTGCACAAGCAAGACAAGGAACAGAGAGCACTTACAAGCATTTCTCCATGACACCCATCAGGTGAAGAATGTCTCAGAACTTTGAACTTAATGTGCAACTAAGCAGTTACAGGGACTCCGTCTAGCCACAGCATCGCTGAGTGGATCAGACCCAATGCAGCTCAATAAAAAATATCACACAGTGAGTTTCAACAGCGCAAGCCAAACCCACGGGCTCTATTCTGACTGTGACAGTGGCCAAAGAGTCACTTTCTACACCCTCATTTGCAGCTTCCACAGGGCTTTAAAGAACCCTTATTTGTTTCCTAAGTATGTTTTAAATTCCACAGCGCTGTAAGTGAACCAAAACCAGTCAGTTCATCAGCAGCAGGTTGGGCTTTTTTTCTGAATAGGTCACACTCACTGTTGGCTCTTAGGTGCTGCAGCAGCCCCAGTTCTCACAAACAGTAATACCCACACCCTTTGACATCAAAAGAACTACAGGCAAACCAGTATTTTTCACAGGCAAATATTTAAAAAAATAACAAACGTCAGTTTTACTTTCTGTGTACCTTTAACTCACATCTATGAATGATGGCATAGTCTTAAACTACAGGTTTTCTGAACAATGGTGCGCTTTCCTTACGTTCACAGACCACATAAACCTGTTGCACCCTCTATGTTTACTTACTACGGCACGCTCCTTGTAGACACCATACCAACTGCAATGTCACTTAACATATTAAGGCATAATGAAAAACAGCAGGAAAACAGTACCAGGTATATGTAAGCAATGTCAATTCCCAGTTAACCTGGGCAATGGGCACTAAAGTGCTTCATCTCTGGCAGCTTTACCTAAAGAAAACTGAATTTTTCAAACCAGGGTAAGCAATAAATGGATCCTGAATACCAAGTGAAGTATATGCTTAGAGGCAGAGCCTCCATCACACAAAAATCTATGGCAACAGAATGTAGCTGTGACAATAAAAGCAAATACATTGGAAAGATAAACAATGCTGATCCAAAATTAAAGAACTATTTTTTTTGTGAACTATCAAGCTATAATATTAATAACTGAACCTTCATTTCTCTGCTGTTTTAAAGCAGGATATTTACCGCTATTAACTGTATTGCAGCAGTACCTTGGCACCCCGGGAAAGCTCTGGCTCCCACAGTACTAGGCATTGTATTAACAAAAGATTATTGGTGCTTGGTATTAACAGAGATGAATAACAAGGATCATATCAGTCAAGGAAGAGTTCATCTTCCAAAAGTCTCTGTGGATGCCACTGCACACAGCTTGTGCTAGAGCAATGTGTATTTTCTCCTTTTTGTGTCTGTAGCTGAGAATCACCCTTTGTTTCTGCATCTCATGAAGATCTCCCATAAAAGTGCAACACCAGGAGAGTTACCTACAAACATATAAACTGAAAGAAGAAAAATGTTATATGTGGTCACTTGCAGATGTCTTGAGAGTTACAAATTATGATTGAAATATTCCTGAAAAAACACTAAGGCCAAGTGTTCAAAGTGCTTGTTCAAGAAGGGGGATGAGTTTCACTTGCCACTGAACTTCCCTAAGGTCTGCACTGGCATATCCCAGAGAGGCGAGCATGGTACACACAACTCTGCTTAATCACTGGAACAGCAGCCAATGAAACAGGTTCCCACAGAGCACCTGCCGTACCTGGTATCTGTCCATGGGATCTTCCTGCTGCAGCTGACTCTCTCGCATTGTTTGGTACTCTCTCTCATATTTCTTCAGCTTTTTTGTTGGCACCTGTGAAGCAGATTTGGAAAACATGCATTTAAAGACTAGAAGAACACTGGAAAGGCTGTCTGAAAGCTCTTCTTACAAACAGAAAGCCAAGGAAGTGCTGGAAAGCCAATGCTGAATAAAGTTACACCCCACTGTCACCCTTCCCTACTCAGCAATCCATATCACACACTTACCAACACAATTCACACGGCCAGAAATCTTTCTACATGTACTGCTGTTTATTATTCAAATACTTAAAGGAAGAGTGAAGTAGAGACATTTTAGTAAGAGTAGCAAGAAGAAAAAAACATCAACAACAGGAGAGAGAGAGCAGGAAAGGGGAAAATATGCTTTGATATGTATGATTCACCATAACAATGCCATAGCAAGAACCGTGTTAAAACTGTGACTAGAAAAAGGAGTGTTCGTACAAAAGGACCAGACAATTTCCCAGGAGAGATCCAGGAAATGGTTTTTTATTGCTGAGAGTATTAATGTCTAAATTACAGCTTGGCACCAATGCTCTCATGAAGCCTGTCATCAGACTCCTCCTAGTCAAACGTGGAGACGCTGCAGTGCTCGCTCCCAGCCACAGGAGGGAAACAGAGAGGCGACTACACAGAAATCACATGCAAATTCAGTAAACCACCATGCAGAAAGGTAAAGTCCCAGCCAGCCTGATCCTGGGAAAATAACAGCTTCAACTGGAAAAAAGGTACACAAAGAACACTTGTGTTCTTTTAAACAAAGCATGGAGATTCTGCGCTTTACTTTCACCTTTTAATTGGGTACACAGCGCCATAGGAATGATCTCATCTCCCTCTGGAGAACTTTGATAGCTTTAGTCTGTCCCCACCGTACAAAAAGAAGCTGGCTCTGCTAAGTGTTGAGTCATCTGCTGGAAGCTGGAGGGATCCCCAACATCACATACCATCATAACACGCTATTCCTGTATCTGTTATTCATGCGTCTGTTCCTCTTGCCTGTATTGATTGTGTCTAGCTGATTCCTGGTGTGAGAACATGCCACTGTCACCTTGCCTTAAGCAAAAAATTACTGCCAATGAGTAGAGATACATGTTTACATGCAGATTTGGTGGTGGTGTGGCCTGTGGTGAAGGATGGTCCCACACTCTCCAGCAAGCAAACAGCACAGCAACAACTTTCTTAGCCATACTAAGTAATAATACCTAAAACGGGGATCAAATCATGAAAGGTGTGAGCATCAGGGTGTAAATATCATGTTGCAACTCAGAAAATAGCTTCCATGCTTTTTGAAAGAATACTGTGATTTACTGCTGTTAGTCTCTATTTATGCTACAGCCTTGTCTTAGTTGGAAAGTAGTACCTACATATAGTGAAAGTGTATCTTATTGGGGGGAAAAGGGGGAAATTCCTATTAGCAAACCAGTCCATAGTAATCCACTTATCTCATAAAATAGAAACTTGAAAAGGTATGCTTAATAACTTTGGCAGGGACTATTGCTTCCCTCTTATTGTCTATTCAGCCACATTACTCAAAGGAGTTGATAATTTATTACAGCACTTTCTTCTCTGGATATAGACTAATAAATGAAAAATATTTAAAAGCCCATTTCCATATTCTCCAATTTAATTCCCTGGAACAGTCTGTGAATTCAACAAGGGTGTTCTCTGTAAGCCCTTCCGTAAGTAAGTGCATCATGCTAGCTATGTTTCAGTCTTCATGGGCTGATCCTGAACAAAGTGCTCATAAATCTGCTGTAAAAGCTTCTGCAATATTGATTTCTTCTTTCTTTAGCACCATGGGGTATATTGTCTGGAACTGATGGTTATCAAATTTAGGAGACTCTTATGGTTTATAAACATTGCTCATCTGTTTATCTCAGTATCTTATCTCCTTGACTCATTTTATTTTATTGTGTTCAAGCACAAACTCATGTCACAACTAGTACATAGAGAAAAAGCCATGTGGAGCATCTTAATAAAATGTCCACGCAGAACTGAACAAGCAAAACCTCTTTCAGACAAAAACCTAGCAGACTCCTGCACTGAACACTCGAAGTCCTCACTGCAGTGGGGTGACAGGTGAGAAACAAAAATGCTTTGGTTTTAGCTGTCCCCATGTTCAGACAGGCAGGGCTGGAAAACTCCGCTTCACCTTCTCTGGCAATCCTGAGCCTGGGCAGCGTGCCGGGCATCGGCATCCGCTCAGCTATAGGAGACCTTCCCCTCACTCTGAATTTTAGCTGTGTACAGACAGTTCAGTCTGACCTTGCTGGATTAATAAATCACACACCTATGACTCCTTCCTCCAAAATGTTTTATTACTCTAATGAAGCAGAAGCACTCAGAGGAGGTAGTCATCATTATGTTCATTTGACAGCACAGGAAATGGAAGCAGAGATGTAAAGTGATTTCCTGAACATACCGAAGACAGCCAGAGGCTGATGCAGACAGAAAAATCCTATTACCCAATTTCTCATTTCCAGCTTCGCCACAATGCCAGACTGAGCACAGTATCTCTTTCCAGGATATCCAGTATCTTCTTTTCTCTTACCTAGCATTGCATAAACAGTCCAAAACTACATAATCCTATCACACTGACAGTGTTTCAGTATTCTGTGATCTCTGCACTCTTTTTCCTCTCTGCTTCTCACCTCAATGTGGAAGGGGGGAGGGGAGGAAAAGAAAGAGAAAAAAGCCAATTAACAAAATGTGCGATGCTTTTCTTTCCAATTCTTTGAAGCAGGTGACTTAATTTTCTGTTTCAGTGGTGATGGATTTGCTCAGTATTTCAAGATTGATGCAAGGGAGCTACATCCATCCAAAGGCAAGGTTACACTGTGATGACTGATTGCAGAAGACTCCCAAGCTTGCTTTTGGTGAGCAATGACAGCAACCACAGACACCGCCTACAACCCAGCTTCCCTTTTATCCATCCATCACACACAGCCCAGGCTGCAATCCCTATGGTAAGCCCAGACTCTTCCCACTGCTGCAAAGCAAGACCATTTCCAAGCACATGTTAATGCCTGGGAGCCCACTCCAGTGGTGGTGGGACCACCCTGAGCTCACTCAGCCTTGGCTCAGTCCTTGCACACAGCCAGGAGTACCAGCTGCAAGAGACTTTCACAAAAAAGTACTATTACGTGTGCCCTTCTTGAGGAAATATGAGTTAGGCTTGTGCATACTCAATTTTCCTCACATTATGATTTAAAGCAATACTAAAAGCATGTGAATTTCAAAATGACGCTTGGTTCTGTGAAATATGTCATATGAAAACTAAGCTTTAAACAGAACCCCAGCAGATTAGCAATGACACATTTCAGATCGCACTCATCATCTTAATTCAGACTCAAAGTTGTATCTATTTGTTCCAGGTAATATTTCATATTTAAAAGACAACTAAATCAGGTTCAAGGAAGGACAATATGGCTCTATTTCAACACTTTATTAGGCCAAATTAAGGCCTAATTTTTTTTTTTTTTTTTAATGTAAAAAAAAACCAATCACCACGCGAAGAAACTGTCTCAGTGCTCTACTGGTCTGTGCTGTCATTGCTACAGGTAACCGCATTACCTCTTTCTTAAAATGTGGTTGCCAAAAGTCATGAAGTACTGTCCTGCAGTATCTGCCACTGGGAATAAGATTCGGAAGTAGATAAGCAGTTCATTTTTGTTTGGGAAGGGTGCAGTAACGAAATGAATAAACATGTTGACACAATAGACTTGTCTGTTGGCTTAGACTTTAAAGGGGGTGATTGGGATGTAAGAGTTAGGTATTATGCAAGACAATCTGAACAACTGTATCCCCAATGAGATACTAGCCACAGCATGAAACCTGAGAGGAAAAAGTGCAGATCGCAATTTCTCACAAAACTCCATTTGCGCTGAGCAGTCTGCAGAGAAGAAAATCTGGAGCATTCATTTGCAGAAGAAAATGTAGGGATTAAAACCAGCTGCCACCTAAAGAAAATTCACAAGCTGAAGCACAGCTGGAAGAATTCCCATTTCTCCTTTTGTCACCGTGTGGTGAAGGGCTTGCTGACAACAAGCTGTTTCACCACAGGTTTGAAATTAAGTGGTACAGCCCTCATCGGTGTTTTACCTACCTACAGCAGTGCATTCAGACATCCCCCACTCTAAAACACACCATAAATCTCATTAAACATAGTCTAACCCCTGGTTTGGGGGCAACATGATCGCAAAGTTTTGTGAAGCAGCCTCTCAGACACCATCTGATTCTCACATTAACCTTATTGCAACTGGCTTTGGGCAAGCTTGCAACGCAAAACCTGTGGTGCTTGGGCTGATGAGCCACCTCTCATCACAGTGGACAAAGGTGGGTCCATGGTGTTATTATTCTGCTTGAGCTTGCGTGCTGCATACAGCACAATAAAAGCCCCAAATATCAGATGCTATTTTACCATCTACACTGGCAGGAAGATGTTCCCTACAATTCCTTGGAAATGTACATTTTGTTGGAGAGATCATCTGCTCCATTTGTGCCTGTCTGAATGCCTGCTGCAGAACAGCATCTCTCTCCACCTTGCAACTGGAAAAAAGAACTAATAGAAATGCTCTCTGTATCAGCAAAGCAGCCTGCTCCACACCAGCGCACCTAAGTACCCCTTCCCTGCAGGGGGAGAGTCTTCCTCCTTTGGCAAGTTACTTCATTGTCAGCTCTATAGGTGTTAAGAACCTCCTGAAGAGAGTCTTCAGGGTAACACAAATCCAGTCTGAAAGCTGGCTGGAGGCAAAGGAAATCAGCTTTGCTCTCTTTTTCTATTGTTTAATTTATCCACATCAGTCCATTATCAAAATACCTCAACTGCACCCGAGACTCCCACAGGAATTTATAAAGATGAGGGAGAGGCTGGTTGCAAAATCTGCAGGGTACCTGCACGATTTGCTGTGATTCAAAATGGCAGCAGGCACAGTCAGTGACGCTGGATGATTTCCAACACCAGATCCCTTTGTCAGATTTTTATCTGACGTATTTCCATTCATCTAAACCTGCTGAACCTGGCACAGCACATTA